GCAGCTTCCTGTCGATCCGTCCCCTTGCTGACGCGTTGAGTCGCCCCTAGAGCTCCGACCCTATCGTACACCAAGCAATTAGAAGCTCGAGTCGCACAGCTGGAAGATGCTCTGGCCAAACTGCGGGGTCAGCCGCGGCCCGAGACTGATTTCCGGAAAGCAGGCACGCCGTCGTCGGCGGGTGAGTCCAGTTCGAGTCCACGGCCTCGGACAAGGATAAAAGAAGAAGAGGGAAACGAGCCCAATTTGGCCGGGGACTTTGAGGGTCTCAGGATCGAGCACGATGGCCGGATATCCTTCCACGGTCCTACTAGCTTGTTTCAGCTCCCGAGCGGTATTCTGAGCGAGTCCTCGTCATCGTCCAATCTTGCCATGCAGCTGGAGGGACGCAAGGAAAGGCTCATCAACAATGCTTGGAGAGAGAGGGCATTTGAGCAGCTGGCTGCCATGCCGGTAGGTGGACTCTTGGTCTCACGAACGGACAGAGGCTCATGATGGGATTTCGGCAGGAACCATTCCAATATCTTCTTGACTCTCACTGGTGCTGGATTCAGCCGCTTTTCAACTTTGTTTACCGACCTGCGTTTACCCGTGCGTACCCACATCGTCCGATCGTCAAAACGAAATGTGCTTACGATCTCTAGGCGATATGAAAATCAACGGTCCTTATTACTCGGATACCCTTCTCAATGCAATTCTCTCGCATTCGGTACGATGGTGCAAGTCTGAACCCAAAATTGGCCCCATCCTGGAATCCTTCGATGGCGGCGCTCAATTCTCCCACCGCGCGGTGACGGGGTTGTATGATTCGTTAAAAGTCGGCTATGCTGGCATTCCGACCATCCAGACGTTGCTCATACTCAGTGCACAAGAGTGCGGGCGGGGAAATCGAACACAAGCATGGCTGTACAGCGGCATGGCCTTTCGATTGTTGGACGATCTCGGCATCTCCATTGATAGTCGCAAGTATCCGGATGCGGCTCAACTGAGCGATGAAGACATTGAGATCCGGAACCGACTTTTCTGGAGCTGTTATTTCTGGGACAAGCTGGTGTCATTGTACTTTGGCAGGTCGCCAACCATGCAAAACTCTCACGTCAGCCCGCCGCGAACTATATGTGAGTTGTCTCTTCCCTGCCTAGCATGGTTGTGTTACTCATAAGCTCTGGCAGTGGACGATACGTCTGAAATCGAGATTTGGACTCCTCATGGAGTGATCTTCCCAGAAGGCACTCATTATCCGCCGACGCAGGCTCATTCGACGTCATGTTTCATGAGGATGTGTGGACTGGCGGAGATCCTAAACGAGATCTTGATCCACATTTACGACCCTATTCGACAAGTGTCTGAGGCAGAGTTCCATAGTTGTGTGCAGGAGCAAGCGAGGAACTTGGCGGAATGGTGGGATGAGCTGCCGGACTATCTGAAGCTGGTGGTCACAGAGCTACCTCCCTACTCACCACCAAGCCATATCGTGATCTTGAAGTGAGTTTGTCTCCGTTATGATCCATTGCACTTTTGTCTGACGTGCTCCTCCACAGCTGCTTGTATCATACGATCAACATCCTCCTTCATCGTCCGATCCTTTGTTCCAAGAGAAACCGAGAGGCATACGATAAGAGTCACCTGGTCCAATGCATGACATCGGCGACTGCCATACTATCACTATACGACCTCTACCGTCGTACATTTGGCGACGCGCATGTCGTGCTGTCATTAGCGTACTCCGTGTACACGGCTGCATCGATCTTCCTGCTGGAGATCCAGGCCCTAAAATATGCTGCGCCGGGCACACTCAACAAACTCAAGTTTTGCATCCTTGCACTCGAGCGAGTCAAGGTTTCAAGTCCTGGTACGTCACGACACTTTCTCACATCGACAAGCCCATGCTGACTTTCTTCAGTCATCACCACAGCTCTAGGCCTCATATACCAAGAACTGGAGAAGTTCCGGATCGACATCCACATCACCCTCTCACCACTGCAGTCCGAACATCCACCCTCACAACCCACCTCGCAAACACACTCCCGAACCCACAGTCAATCCCCCAGCCAGCACCCCGGCGGCCAACCCGCTCTAAATTTAAGCAGCGGCTCCCGCCACGTCTCTCCAGCCGGCCAACCACCAACCATGCCAACCTCCGCCCCGCACCGCGCGTCACAAACGCGCCCCTGCTGCACCAGGGCTACGCATTCCAGCGACCTGTCGGGGATTTCGAGCTGTCACAGACGGGCGTGCAGCCCGTACCTGCGACACATCTTCTAGGCGGCATGCCCAATGCGGCGATGACGCTGGACAACCCCGGTTCGTACGAGATTACGCCCGAGGTCTTCGAAGCGTTCTCGTACGCTGAGCCTATCACGGCTAACATGGCGTCTGCCTTTGAGTCGGCGTGGGGCCGGCCAGGATGATCCTCACCTGGATACCTGCAACATTTGATTGGTTGATCTTGGTCTATTGTGATATCCAGGAAGTTGTTACTGTTTCGTCATAGTATATCCACAATTGGAAGTGGTAGAATTGTATGAACAGATGCCATCGCATTGTTCGCATGTATATACAGTCAAAATATTGGACATGAAATGTGTACATGAAAGAGTACATAACACACCAGCTCTAACATAAACAGGAATTCAACGCCCGAGGATAGTAGCTCAGGGAGATGCGTTCGTCCAGCCCAGCGTCTTCTCACCAGGAGCAACGCCCGCGTCCATTCCAGCCGGGGAAGGTAAAGACGAGCTGGCTGGTCTTGGCTTCGCACGCCAGCGCAAGTACCAAGGTCCCTCGAAGAGGTCGCCCATCCGCTCAATGGGCACGCCCTTCGTCTCAGGCATCCAGATGCCCAAGATGACGAGGCCCGAGAAGCAAATGATGGCCCAGAAGACGTAGGCGCCCCACACATCGAGGGAGACGAACATGTTCGGAGTAACGCGGACGACAGCAAACTGGAAGAACCAGTGCAGCGACATGCTGATCGCGTAGCTGACGTTGCGGATGCGGGTGGGGAAGATCTCCGTGCCGTAGAGGTAGGGGATGGTGCAGAGGCCGATGGACCAGCCGACGGCGTAGACGAAGACGGAGGCGATGGCGGCGTCGGAGGCGGAGCGGTTGGTGCTCGACCCCGGCTGCAGGCCCATGTATGCGCCCATGTAGATGTGGGCGGCGAGCTGGAGGCTGAGGCCGGCGAGGGCGCACCGCCGGCGGCCGAGGTAGTCGATTAGTCCCCAGGTGAAGGCCATGGTGAAGATCAGCTTGATGACCCCGTAGGCGCCTGAGGAGACGAGCGAGCGCGCGTTGCCGTCGATGCCCGCGTACTGGAAGATGGTGGCGACGTAGTAGGTGATGCCGTTGCCGCCGGTCCACTGGGAGATGGTTTGCATGGCGATCAGCAGCCAGAATCGCTGCCGGTAGTTCGGGTTGAGTTGGGTCTCTTTGAAAGCTTCCCAGTGGGTTACGGACACCAGATCCATCGCCTTGGTGCGCACTTGCGCATCGATGCTGTTGAATTCGTCTTCGATCGCTGGGTCGGAGACTCCTTTCCCGCGCAGACGAGCGAGGACGGATCGTCCTTCGTCATGCCGGTGCCTTGAGACCAAGTAGCGAGGTGTTTCGGGTGCGATGAAGGACGCAAAGAACGCAATCCCGACTGGTATTAATGGGATGGATTGCACGAGACGGTACTGGGTCCGCGTTGGGGCCATATGCAGACTGGCGGCATAATTGATGAAGAAACCTTTGCCAGGGTCAGCTTTCTGGACACGCAAACATTTGGAAATGATGACCAACCCAATGCCAACACTGTCAACAATATAACCATGTAAATACTGACCACCAAACCCCTTGTTCTTGCGGGGGCTAACCGATAGTCAGCATTTTAGTCTCAGCCAATTGTGCCCGGATTGCGCAACCCATACCAATTTCGGATAAATACAACGGCGTGCTAACTGTGAGTATTCCCGCCCCTAGCCCACTGCATAGCCTTGCCGCAAGAATTAGACCATATATCCCAGAAGAGAAAACCTGAACGAAGAGACCGGCCGCCCAAATCAGACAAGCTAATCGCCACGAGCGCAGGCGGCCCAGGCGATCGTTCAAGTCCAATGCGAGCAGGGCACCAAACGCAGCACCCAAAACGTTGAACGAGGTGATGTTGGCTCTCCGGTTGGCCAACTCGGTCTTGTTATTCGTCCATTCAGAAGCTGCGAGATGGAAATCGTTCACAAACGATTCCAAGTTGACGCTCGCACTAAAGCCACCTTCATCGTAACCTGCCGATTGACACGACATGCACGGTCAGCACACGAATTGGTGGAAAAAAAAATAAAGGCGCGCATACCTTTCGGAATACTCCCGCAGGCAATAATCAGAATGACGATGGCGTAATAAGGATTGGTGGTCCACCGAGACCGGTCAATCGCCAGCCTCATGATGGCGACGGAACATTCGATGACATGCGGGGGAAGGACTAACAGAGCAAGCACTAATTTCAAGTTCGCGGGGAGAGCCCTTGATGGAATTTACCAATTGATTGGTATGATCTGGGGCAATCAGATAAACGGATACCCACCGAGGCCTCGTTCTGGAAGATTGAGGTCGGTATCTTCCGCGAGAACTGGGATGAGTTTGCAGGGGGCGGAAGAGCACATGACACCGCTCTCGTCTCGGCCAACTTCCGATCTTTTTCTTTTTTTATGAGTGTGTCCCCTTGCGCATGCAAGCAGCATAGTTCACAGGGATAGTACGTCTGTGTGATGGTCCTGATTCAGTTTCTCGAGGACACTGGCGCATCTATTGATCCAGAGGTGAGTCTTCTGGATTCATCAGTTTCGGAACCCCCGATCTTAACAGGGGTTGGGACTTGCAAGGCTGGCAGATCTGGCGGATGGATCCGCTGGCAATCCACTCTGGTCTCCGCTACACCGAATTTATCCTGAATGGAACGGTCGGACGGGCGATGGATCATGGGTCAATGGAAGGGTCCAAGGAATGCGATATGAAGTCACTGAGCCGTTGATTCACCAGACACGGACACCTTCCGCTCCATGTGTCACACAACACTGACGCGAGAATCTTGTGCCTTTTTTCCTTTTAAATTCTTTCTGTTCCCTTCCCCTCTATCTCTCTAATAACCATGCATCTCTGGTAAAGCAAACGGGAGTGGGACTGTTCTCATGTTCATGGTTCTAGCCACATTCCTTGCTGAGGTGGCGCACTACGTGGATTCTCGAGGCTGGTTTTTGCGATGACAGTCTTACGCGTTGATCTGCTGAGACGAGCAGTCCGGAGATCTCGATTTTTAACACTTGTAAGTTCGCACTCGTCAACATCTACTCGCTGGAGTACCTGACATCTATCGTGTCAACCATACTCACTCCTCTCCAGTGTAAGCCATGCCTTGTGGACAGCTCGCCCCGAGCCTCAATCTGCCTGGCTGCAGCTGCCAGGAAGGCCGAGCCAATCATCAAAGATGACCGAATCGCACATCCCATCCCTCTTAAGCACCGTATCCCCCCAGGATCATGGGATAGCCACATGCACGTCGTGGAACCGAGTCGGTACCCGGTATCTTTAGGCGCAGCTTACACACCCTCCTGTCACACCCTTGAGGAGGCGCTTGCCTTTGAATCTACATTGGGAATCGAGAACATCGTTCTCGTCCAGCCATCCATCTACGGTACCGACAATTCGTGCCTCCTCGAGGCCCTGGAACGCATCGGCGAGTCTCGCGGGCGAGGAGTGGTGGTCATCGACCCGGCCACCACCTGTCCCACGGCTCTCTCCGCGTGGCATACACTAGGCGTGCGGGGCGTCCGAGTAAATCTGAAATCAGTAGGGAAAGTCCTCTCCGAGTCCGAGCTAGCCGAAACCCTTTCGCAACACGCAGAGCTCATCCGTCCCCTCGGCTGGATGATCCAGCTTTACTTGCCTCTGCACATGATGCCCACGCTCGAGCGGATCGTTCCGTCCCTTGGAGTCAAAATCTGCATCGACCACTTTGGGTCTCCTCAACTCCCTTCAACCTCGATCATCACCAATCGTCAATTCAACCCATACACCCTCCCAGGCTTTTCGGCGCTTATCTCTCTGCTTCAAGCGGGGCAGACCTACGTCAAGATCTCGGCCCCGTACCGTCTCAGCAAGGACAAACAACTGCGCGATCTTAGGGCTATCACGCGGGAACTTTTACGCAAGGCTCCGAGGCGGGTAATATACGCGACCGACTGGCCGCATACGCGGTTTCATGGTGTTGACGTTCGCCCGTTTACAGAGTTGTGTCTGCGGTTATGTGCCAGTGAGACTGGCCTAACCGAGCGGGTGTTCAAGTCGAACGCGGAGGAGTTGATGTGTGTGCATGGTTAGCGCGATACGATTTATGACTTATGACTTGATGTATTTACAGATGCGTATTTCTTTACGCATCACATGAACGGAAAGAGACCGTCATAATCTCGGTCAGAATCCGGTGAGCCGGTCAGCCGGTGTGTGGGTTAGTCTCCTGTGCTTTTGATTAATTAATTATTGTGGATGGATTTGCCGAGCTGCCGGCAGATGGGGATGGGGGATTTCCGCATCTCTCCACTTTTGCTTGTCCATGTAATGTTTAGTCCAGGTTCCCAATTTCCACGACTAATTAATAATCGTAATGCTTGCGTCCTTGTCCATTCTTAAAGCTTTCGATGGAAGGCCCGTACTTGTTATCAATCCTATCAAGCCAAACTACCGAACCGCGAGACCTCTAGCTAATGCAAGCTCTAAGACGCGGGGCCTTTACAATGCACTATGACACTCGATTTATTATGTATTAAACTGTGTATATCAACTTAAACCAGGTCATGCAATATTAGCATTGCACAGCCTAACTATTTCGGTACCAGTGTCTGACGATGCTGCAGTGCATTGCCATATCCTCCACCCTGGGCATTAGCATCAGCTCCATGGTCCAGTAGCACCCGTACAATGTTTTCATGTCCTCCTATTGAAGCAGCCCGCAATGCATTGCCGTATTCTCCACCCTGGGCATTAGCATCAGCTCCATGGTCCAATAGCACCCGTACGACATTTTCATGTCCTCCTATTGAAGCAGCCCGCAATGCATTGCCGTATTCTCCACCCTGGGCATTAGCATCAGCTCCATGGTCCAATAGCACCCGTACGACATTTTCATGTCCTCCTATTGAAGCAGCCCGCAATGCATTGCCGTATTCTCCACCCTGGGCATTAGCATCAGCTCCATGGTCCAATAGCACCCGTACGACATTTTCATGTCCTTCCATTGAAGCAGCCTGCAATGCATTGCCGAATCCTCCACCCTGGGCATTAGCATCAGCTCCATGGTCCAGTAGCACCTGTACAACATTTTCATGTCCTTCCATTGAAGCAGTATACAGTGCATTGCCATAAAATCCACCCTGGGCATTAGCATCAGCTCCATGGTCCAATAGCACCCGTACAACATTTTCATGTCCTTCCTTTGAAGCAGCCTGCAATGCATTGCCATAAAATCCACCCTGGGCGTTGGCATCAGCTCCATGGTCCAATAGCACCCGTACAACATTTTCATGCCCGTTGAATGAAGCAGCCCGCAGCACACTACCAGATAATTCATCCTGGTCGTTGGCATCAGCTCCGTGGTCTAATAGCAGCTGTACAACCTCTTCATGTCCTCCCATTGAAGCAGCGTGCAGTGCACTACCACACTCTCCACCTTGGACGTTGGCATCTGCTCCTCGTTTTAGTAGCAACTCAGCAACCTCTTCATGTCCTTTCAGCGAGGCCCACATCAACGCATTCGAACCTGTATTGTCTTCCTCATCTATGCTGTTTCCATTTTCAGCAAGTAATTTCAGGACCATTCGCGTGTGCCCGTTAAAAGCTGCCAGATGGATTGGATTCATGTGTGGCGCGTAATCATTTAACATATGTGTGTTGCGCCAAAATATTGGGAACCAAACTGCAAAATGACCTTTGGCTGTATCGTATATGTGATGTAACAGATCGTCAATTTCGTGTTGCTGCATCAGGGATACATTTCGTACATGGTCCGCCCAATGCACTGCTGAATATTCCAAAAGTCTTCGGTTCTCTGAATCTGTTTGTTCCAGATCATCCATTAATAAGTATTGTAGGCAGACCTGAGACATCAGTTTCTCCGCGTCTGTTTGCTTGAAAGCGTAGATGGAATTAGGATTGCTGGCCAAATCCCTGCAGATAAGGAACTCCCTGGCTGTCTGATGGATAAGGAATATTTTTGAGTTGTTGATAAAGACAAAGAGACCGCACAGTTGTCGTATCCTCTTGGCTAATCTTGCTGGGTCGATTCCAGCTTCTGCGGCGGTTTGCGACCTCGGCGATAACGCTATACCCAATGCCACAGCCATCTCTTGTGTTGTCAAGGGACGCCGTGCACCAACAATAATCTGGAGGACTTTTCTCACTGTATGGACGTGATTGGATGGAATCCGAGCAAGTATCTTTTCATATGCCGCGTCCACAGAGGGAGGTATCAGTCGAATTGATTCCTCAGCAGGTAAAAGGCTGTATTTTAATGTAGTGCGGATATCGTCAATGGCCAAATATAACCACAGATACGTGCGATGCTCCATTTGAAGAAGTTGGTGCTCAAGACGCTGCTGCACATCAGATGACAGTGATGCTGTCTCAGCCAGCTCCTTCACTCTAATCCTTACAACCAGATTAACCTCCTCACGGATTTGATCGTTTTCTTCCTCCCCTTTGAGATGTATATGTGGGAAGGAATCTGTGATAGCTCTGAATTGGTCCTTGACTTCATCATAAGGACGACTGGTAATCAGAAACTTCAACCAGGTCTCAAGTGGCGATGAATCAGTTCGATGGCAGAAGTCCTTGAGTCTGTGGATGAGTTGTTTTTGATCATCTGGATGACATTCATCAAGCGCATCGAGCACACATATGGTATTGGCCGACGTGGGATCTGATGCCGCCGCTATAAAGATCCGCCAAAGTTCACCAGCCTCTTGCTGGAGCTTGTTCCCATTCCTTTCCCACGATGGCAAAGCATGCCTTAGCAGATTTGGCTGCTGGCTAAAGAGCTGATGGAGTATGGCACATAATGCTGTAGCAAGATTGTTCTGCTCACCATTGTCCTTGAAGAAAAAGTAACAATTTGACACTGTTGAACTAGATGCTTTGAAGTCATCATCGATAAGTGATTTGGCCAGAACGGATTTTCCACAGCCAGGGTCTGCTGATATCCACAGAAGATCATTGCAGCGACTATTCCACCAATGGAGATAATGCGGGTTTTGCAAAGCCCATTGACATGTCCCTGGTACACGGCCGGGATTGATGTCTTTATGCTGCTCATAGTTTGATGTCTTGAACACCTGGTGACACTTCTGTTGCTGTTCAGTCAGGGCTCTAGCTGTTTGCTCGCAATAATGCCGTTCTTGTTGATCGTATGCTATGTCCAGTCGTTGATTTGTGCCTTTGACTTCTTGAGTTAAATTCACTATGGAACCTATATACGGTGATAAGTAAACCACATGCTCTTCTAAATATTAGGCTAATCTGGACATTACTTACTGCATACGTCTACTGCAAGATTCTCTTGCAAGACTTGACCCCGGGGCACGTATGCGAGCAATTCCTTGGCATATGAAGCCGCCGCTAAGGCAGCGTAACCCTGCCACTGCTTGTTCTTGTGCGAATCAGAGTAATCACAGATGCTGCGGATAATAATGCAAGGGAAGTCTAACATCAAGCCTGCTGCCTCCATCTCAAAACACAGTGCCCCAGATTCCAAACGAAGCTGTTCTCTTGTGCAACCGTGTTTGATAACAGAATTTCCCGAAGCAATAATACCATAGTGTGGCAGCGGATCCTCGGTGCCTCGTTCACTTCTAGTCTCTTCCCAGTCTCTCGAACACATATCGCAGTTTTTCGCACTAGCAGGATGTTCGTGCTTGGTTTTGAACAATCGATCGCTTTGTGAACTGGGTCGGCCAAAGTGTGCCTGGGTCCGTCGGGTCCTCCTGATTGCTCTTTGAAGATATTCCGGGTAGCGGGGATCATCAGTTAGCTCAGCAGCCCTCATATGGTTGACTGCTGTTAACAATGACCTGGGAGGACTGTTCAAGGAGCCAGTTCGGCAGAATACACCGTCCGCAGTGACCTTGCCCATATCATACTGAATCACGCCTCCACAAGTGCCTGTCGGGCAGCTAATCACGATATCGCCAAGCCGTATATCATGATCGGGGGATGGGATCCCTCCTCCGACGCCGACCATCAGACCAATCCGTAATGATTTTGAGAACGTGCGGACCATGTTGCTTGCGACTGTCGTAGCTGCACAGGCTCCATATTGTCCTGCGGGCAGGCAGGCGATCACAACATAGTGCTTCCCAATTTTACCCAATCTGTATGAGTTTGTATCCGCAGCATCTTGTTCTTCGAGGATTCCAAAGTCTTCGTCGAGCATTTCCTTGGCTGCGGCAGCCTCAATAGGAAGGGCACAGATCCAACCGACCTGGAATTCGTCTCGTGCAGGACAAGGCATGGTCATGGTTGTTAAGTGGTGAAAACCAAGACGAGTTTCAGCTCCATCTGACGTTGGCGACAGAAGATGTATGTTCACGAGAAACTGAAAGGCAGATGCAGAGGGCTATCATATCTGATATTGCGTCTTGGGGTAAAAAGGAGCAGACTGGAGAGATAATAGTTAATTACTAAAGCTCAGCCTTTGTGCTGCGGATGAGGCAGGGTGCCTGGGCGGTAAAAGACGAATCACCATTGGCCACACTAATGATGGATGCCTTATTACCCCGTCACTGCACAATAAGAGGAAATCTACCGTAGTATTGGCCAACAGCAGCTCCACCATGCGTGTGTAGTGCACCACGACCACGGCGATTTTGACTGCCAATTACGACTGAGCGACTGAATGGAGGTCCGTATGACGGCAACAAGGTACAGTACGTCCTTGTAGGTTAGTTGTTGGGTGCTGGTCTGGCAGCTGGGAAAGTAAGGATAGCTTGATGTACAACGTTACACGACTTCCACTCAATACCGATGGCTGCCTTGTCTGGAGATGGTCAATCTGATAGCCTTAGTGGAATTCTCTCGTACCTCAGTCCATAAGTGATGATAACGACAAGAATGAAGTACAGTGGGAGTGCAAAAGTATTGACACCCACAACCACTCTGTCCGTTTTGTCACATCTTACTGCACTTTGAGAGCCCAAACATTGAGAATTCTGATGGATACATTCAAAGGCACATCCATCGTAAATGCTTATCAGTTATAATCTACGCTTAGTCTGGGCAAACATAAAGCGCACACAAAGAGAAAACAAGGGGTGCTAATCGTTGCGGGATCTACAGCCTCAAGCAGAAATTCAACAAGGCAGATTTGTTCTACCTCTCATGGGCTGGCAACTAAACCATATTATCCAATCAAATCCTCAAAGGCCTTGTCCTTCATACGCCCAATGCTGTAGAGCACTACAGTGTTTATTGAATAGAGGTCAACATAACCTTACCTCGTAACCTTGGACTGCTTTAACACAGCCTTCAAGCTCCCTCATGCACTTACTAAATCAGTTGCTTATAAGCTCATTCTCAAGTCCCAGTAAGCGAAGATCTTCAGCTAGTACATGCAAAAAATGTCGTTACCTATGTCGGACCCTAGATTTACTGCTTCCGGGCACATATCGGGATAGATGGCAATGGCACATTATCTCGAGATGGGTCTCTCAACAGCCCTCCCAGGTCACTGTTGATGGAAATCAATGCTATTAAGACTGTCGAGCGAACTAAAAATCCCCTCTATCCAGCATATCTCTAAAGCGCGATTGGTATGACTGCATGGTCCCAGAACCCTTTGCCAGACCTTGTCCATAAGGGTCAGCAGGACAAACCCAAACAGCTCAGGGCGACAGCGGAGTTCTGTGCCACCAGAAGAGCTTATGAGAAGACCGGCTGAGAAAATTGTTCAAAGAATACACAACTCTGGAAGACGAAGAGATCGCGCAGGAGCTTCAGGAAGAAGACTCCACCGAGTACGAAAGGTTGTCTGGAGAAGAGTGATGAGAGATCTATAGAGAATATACTAGTTAAACCTTGCTCGTGTCCATCAAAAGGCACAGGTAGCAGCCGGTAGCCCTATTAGGAGCCAAGTAACATAACCAAGCAGCAATACACAATCCGTATCCCGACCACCATACCCTCCATCTATCTACCATATACACTCCCCGTTTGCCCTACAAATCCTGAACATACCCATTCGAAGTACAAATAAACACATGCTCCTATCTCCATATTAGCCCAGCCCCCCCTCACACAAAGCAACTCCAGGGGAACTTACAATGGTATAACAACAAACCGGCATCATCCCATCATTCGGACACTTATCCCCCACCGTCTTCGGATCCGCAGGCGTACCTACACACGTCACATCAGCTTCTTACTATCCAATTTCCTTTCATTGCACCAGGGAACTAAGGGCGAAAGCGTACACTTGTCCCCCTGCAAGAAACTCTCCGCGTAGCGCGCAGGCACCAGATCATCGCAGCAGTAGGCCTTCTGGATCATGTTTGTGCCGTCTTTGGCCATTTCGCAGTAGTAGCTTAGGTCTGCGCGGGCGAGTTGGAACGCAAGTGTGGAGAGGAGGAGGGTGGTGGTGGGGTTCAACTGCAACTGGAGTTTCATTTTGGGGCTTTCTGTCTGTTGGCTTGTCTGGCGTGTGTGTAGTTGTTGGTTATGGTGAGTAGTTCGACTCGATGAAGATGGGATGGCTAGATAAGAGGCTAGCTGATGAGGGTTTGTGTTGAAATAGATAGATGAAATGTGTAGACTAGGGATGCATAGGGGGCGCGTTGTTATGCGGCGTTGCGGCGGTCCCTTGCATTGTCTGAGATGGCGTGGTATGTGGCCCCCGTGGATCAAGTATGGATCATCGTCGTCCCATGCAGGACGTACTGTAGCCACTGAGATGATGATCTACGTTCTCCTTCCCGCAGTGAATCATGTTTTTATGTGGTTTGCTAAGTGGTGGTGACTCCAAGGTACATGGTGCTAACTTGCTATTTTCAAGGACTATGTACGAGACATGACAGGGACTAGTTTATTATCCCTTGCGCCTATGACACTGTCAAGGGCTGGATTCAATTTAAGTTACTGTACGAAGACGAATCACACTGCTGTACTAGTTGAGATCGACCTCGGAAGGACCGGTGAGATCCAGGCTCGTCTTGATGGTCACTGCCTGGCGGCCAGAGTCAAAGGAGGCCTGGCTTGCAGAGTTGGATGCAGGCGCAGACTGGCCAAGCAAGGTGACAGCGTTGACTTTCAAGTCCGTGCGGAAACCAAACTTGCCCTTCACCCGGAGACGGCCCTTGCGGTACGTGAACTCCAGCTCGAGGGTGGCGCGCTGCTCGATGGAGTCGCCGTCGTCAAGGTACAGACTGCCCGAGGCAGTTCCATCGAGTCCCGGGGCGATGATGAGCTCGAAGCCCTTCTTGCGCAGCTCGGTGGTGGTCATGGCGGACTCGGACCGGACGGGGATGATGCTGCCGCCGCGGATGTGGATGGGGATCTCGGTCACGTCGATGTTGCTGAGGGTGACAGTGGCTCCGCGGCCGCGCAGGGCGGCACCCGTGTGCCAGTCGTAGAAGATGTCGTCGGGGAAGTATGCATCGACCGAAGTCTGGCTCCCGTCGGTCACGGGGCTGACCAGGATGGCGTCGCCGTAGAAGAACTGCAGCTGATTGCTGAAGGTGTTCTTGTCCTTGGGATAGAGGTAGAACATGGGCTGCAGGAAGGGCTCGCCGGTCTGCGTCTGCCGGTGGAAGGCTGTGTAGATGTAGTCAAGCAACCTGTAGCGGATGTCGATGGCCTTGCGAGCGGACTCGGCAACGGTGGGCCAGCGGTAGAACTCTTGCGGGATGCCGGTGATTTCATTGTGGTTGCGGAAGAAGGTGTAGAAGGCTCCGAGACGGGCCCAGCGAGCGCAGAGCTCCTCGGTGGTGTTGCCGCCGAATCCGCACACGTCTGATCCGATCATGGGCACCTGGAACATCGAGGCAAACGCAAGCATCTGCGCGATCGAGATGCGGTACTTGCTCCACTCGGAGATGTTGTCACCAAGCCTTGCCAATGTAGTGTCAGTATAGTTTGCAGATTGAGATGGATTGCACCTACCAGTGTCCAACGTGGGCGCCAGCACCAGCATATGTGCTGCGAGTGATGACCAAAGGCCGCACTTCAGGGCGGCGGTGCTGCATGGCATTGCGAGAAGCAGAACTCATCACTATTGAAAATGTTAGGACTGTCCTTGTCACCAGGATAGATGCTACTTACTGGTACCATAAAGGTTGTGAGTGTCATACTCGGCATATCCCTCGCCGGCATGGATGATGTCTGTGTTGATGGTCTTGTTGCTGAGGGAGCCGGCTTCATTGCGGATCATGTACGGAGGGTTGATCAGGTCACGGTTAGGCAGGCCAACCTTGGATCCCTTGGTGGACCGCTTCGACGAGGATGAGGGCTGGAAATCACCAGGGAATCCGGGCAACGGGCGTGGGCTGCTGGGACGAACGGGGGAGCGGCAGGAGGAAGGCTGTTGTCCCTAGAGTAGCCCTCGGGATCGCTGCAAGGGTAAGGGCAGAAGTTGGCGGCCTCGTTCATATCGATCCACAGACCGTCAATATCGACGCCGGTCTTGCGGTCGAAGAACTTGGCAAACTGTTCGTTCCAGTACTCTTGGATGTTAGGGTGGAACCAGTCGGGATACGCAGTCACACCAGGCCAGACGGCACCTGTACAGGTTAGTGTCTGGGGTCGTCCTGATGCTTGAGATGAGACCTACCCTTGTAGAGGCTACCGTTCTGGGTCTGCAGGAAGATGCCTTGCTCCATGCCATCGTTGTAGCCGACGTTGTCTAATCATTTGTCAATACGATTCCCCCTCCATACTTTGGAAAGATAACTTACCGCTCACGCTGACGGCGGGGTCAACCATGACGATGTAGTGCTGGTTGTGGTTGTGGAGATATGACACCAACTCACGCATCTTTTCCAGAGGGAATCGCTCAGGGTCAAGTGTGAACACCCGACGTCTGTCCATGTAGTCAATGTCGGTCCACATGGTCTCCAGCGGAATCTTCGCCTGGCTGTAGTTGTAGACAACCTCAGCGACCTCAAACACATCGCGATAGCCGTATCTGCATTGGTGGAACTAGAAAATAGCATTAGACAAGAACCAGCAGATCAAAACAGGAAGACGTACACCGAACGTCCAGTAGGACTGCATAGCGGGAAGACCGACGACTTTCGCATACTCGATGCTGGCATCCTTGGGAGTAGCACCGGTAAAGAAGTAAAAGTCAAAAACACCTCCCAGAGTGTTGTACTCCAAGTACTGCTTGCCATCCTCGGTCTTGTCGATCTTGATGTCCATGCCGTTGGAGTTCAGCAGGAAGACACCGTGAGTGCCGTCTTGGCCACGATGGTCATAGTACACGGGATGAGTACCGTACAGGTTGGTCTTCTCAGGAATAGCATACGCGTCACGGTTCCACAGCGTACGCGTGTAGTTGGTGGTCTCCAGGCGAAGAGAATCAGTGTGCTCGCCGAGACCATAGAGATTAGGGTCCTCGGGCAACCAGGTGCGGAGATTCAGATACTGCGACTGGAAGATCAGGTTCGAACCAGAGGTGTCGAAGAGCACCTCGCGGCCCCTCTTGACCTTGAAGGAGAAAGGATTCGCCTGGTAGTCGAACTTGAGCGCCGGCTTCTTGCTCGATCCACCTTTGCCATCCACGCGAGGGAGAACCGACTCGGGGACTTGGTAAACCTCCTCATCCGCGTCATAGATCTTGACATGGAGACGTTTATCTAGGAAGAAGTAAGCTACAATTCATCGCCGTTTAGAGCTGAAAAACGTACCAGTTTGGTACTCAACAAGAAGTTTCAGATTCTTCAAGTCGGTGCCGTAAGTGTTGCACGGTTTACCAGCCAACGTCAAATCCGCCGTTAATGAATCGCGACCCTCCTTGATATTTGTGGCCTTGTAACCAGGGCAGTCATGGCTGTTGTCCCTGGCACCGATCACGGCAGCGCCCACAAGGGGTACAAGAAGTAGCAGCGATCTCAACATGTTGAGGTTGAGACTTGAGATCGGTACTGAAGATAAAGCGAATCGAAAGTGAGGGACACCAGGTTTATATGCCTTTTGACTTGCGCCCTAGCGGCAGAACATTCCATCGGATGCACCTTACACTTTCCCGGGCACGGCCGGTGGCGCAGGCGTTCATTTGGCTGTATGACAAACATCAGACACAATAGTTAACTAGATCAATCAGATCCAAGTACGCGGAACGACTGCGCGGAGATTACGCCTGGGCCGAAGCTACAAGCACCCGGCAATTGGCCGTCTCGGGCTGGGCAGGAGAGCTCTCAGGAGAAGGACTAGACTTGATTTGCTCAGTTGGACCCTTTGAAATGAGGTCAACTAGCGGGGAAGAAATGGAGCAAACACGAAGGTCTTCAAGTGCATTATTTTCATTTGCAGGGTCTTGGTCAGTCGGTCAAATATCGGGGATCCAACCCAGTCCGTTTTTGGTGCGGATGATGCTGATCTTGTCCTGGAATGGGAACTGCATAACCAAATATTATGCAGTATAGAATGTGCTCTATTGGCCTATTATTGCAGGGATCATCACCCAGTTCAGTTATTCTTAATATTGACACCCCGCGTTGATCCTGAGACTTGTTCGCGCTTCATGGTGTTGATGATTTCATATCTTCACATATGTTAGCTTTGAGCCAAATGAAGTTGTATGAGCTCAACCTCAATAGACTGAGTAGCTCCAGCCCGCAAAATGCATATGACTTGGAAGCTTCAAGGTCATTGATGCCGGCCCGACATCGAAATCATCGTCTCTGCCAAGCATGTATACAGCACGCTGACTGGTGGAGAGCAACAAATCACCAGATGCCAAGAGAGAAGCTTTCCCCGCTTGCTTCCCCGCTGTGAAGTCTGTGCTGGCGGTGATGGCAGGTCCAGGCCGGGGGTCCTCAGCACTTGATCAGGGTAGTACTCATTAGTGATGGCACGGTGTCGTCAGAGATCGTATTCAAGTCAATCAAAACTCACATTCGATCCGATAAGAAGAACTCCTGTCTGGAGAAAATGAGGGGATCATGGTGCTGCAATGAGAATACAGCTTGAGATGAACTCAATCAACATGGTCACTCATTTTAGCGAATATATAGATATCCATCATCGCTCGTGATTTTTATCCCTGTCTGGCCCTTGTGGCATGTCCATGTTCTCTTCTGGGAGTAGGATGCGGACCCTAAGATCTGCAGGGAAATATGTACTTTTGGCGTTTTGTATCCACTATGTACTCACTCGCATTGACATCAGAGTATAAGAATGGGATGGCGAAGGGAGCGATATGTTGCCTACTTAGAGAGGTACAGGTAAACTGACCTCAACCGTGGATATATTTTGAGTTCGGCCAGGGTAATGATAACAGGCATCCTCGGTTCCACTACCTATGTCTTCAAGTGACCTTGGATATGTCGCCTGAACATGACTTCTGGATTCATCTACTGACGGTCATAGATAGAGGGTCTGCAGGATATTCTAAAGTATTAATTAGAGTCAATGTCCTATACCCAAGGCTTCTAGACCCAGGCAGCCTGAGCCAAGACCTGGTCTAGTTACTTAAAATGAGCTACCTCGCTGTTAGACTTGCCTCATTACCGCATATGAAAGGAAGGACATTATCTATCAGAGCCACCAGCCACTCAACCAATCTTTGACAAAGAGTTTCGAAATGTCTATATATCAGCCTGGATGCACATATAGTAATCATCAACATCAGTACATGGCATGGTCATCATCGCAATGCAAAGAACATGACAGTATGCGCGGTGTCATGAAAAACGAATCAACAAAACAACCCCAAACGATTCTAACCCCATAAACGCCAGCAGTATGGACAAGTCCAAGTCAGGTCTACTGAGCAGCAGCCGAAGCAGCCTTGACGTCTTCCTCCGAGCTCATGATCTGGACCTTGATTGCTCCAGTCTTGGGGTTCGCGGCCGTCTCGAAGGCCTTGAGGGCATCCTCCAGTGCGAACCGGTGGGTGACCAGGCGCTTCAGGTTGATCACGCCGTTCTGGACCAAACGGATGGCGCGAGGCCAGGTGTTGCAGTAGCGGTACTGGTACTGCAGGTCGATCTCCTGTGTGCTGAGACGCATGAACGGGATGGTCATCTCGTTCTTGCCGACGCCAATGACGAAGACCTTGCCGCCGAACTTGACGCTCCAGATGGCGGAGGCCACACTGCTCTCGACACCTGTGCATTCCAGCGCCAGGCGGGGCCGCAAGGCATCCGGACCGGATCCTTGGCCGTCGTTGAATACATTGACAATCGCATTGGCTTGCTCCTCGGCAGAGAGACCAAACTGGACCTTGTAGGTGCGCACCTCGGGGACAAGAGACTTGGCGAACTCCAGACGTCCTTCGTCAATATCCGTAATGACGAGCGGGGTGGCACCGGCAGCTTTCGCGCTGAGCAGGGTGATCAGACCAATGGGACCAGCACCGGTAATCAAGCAGGGATCGCCCAGACGGAGTCCGCTGCGCTCAATTGCCGCAAGAGATACACTGAGGGGTTCCAGCAGAGCACCATCCTCGAAGCTCATGTCGCCGATCTTGTGGCACCAGACGGCGGGGTGGTTGACATAGCGGCGCAGCAGTCCGTCAATGGGGGGTGTGGATAGGAAGGCAACATTCAAGCAGCCGTTGTAGCGTCCCGTCAGGCAGGGTTCGCAAGCGTGGCAAGGAATATTGGGCTCGATAGCAACACGATCGCCGGGCTTGAGGGAGGTGACATCGGGAGCGACCGCAATCACTTGACCGGCCGACTCGTGACCCAGGATATGATCGCCCTCGACGATCATTGGGCCAATGCAACCCGCATGCCAGAAGTGTACATCAGATCTATGTGTTTCAGAGGTCATTGGTCAGCTACTGCGTGCGACACGAGGAAGTAGGACGCACACAAGGATTAGAAAGAGACATACCCGCAAATACCTGTGCTGCGAACCTCAATCGTAACCTCACCAGGCTTCAGTCCGTTGCCGCTCTTGACATCCTCCAACGTTGGTGCTGATTCCGCGATCCACAGATCGTGCTTGGGGTTTGTGTAGACGCCGATGTTAGGCTTCTCGAGCACAGTTGTGGTTGCGGTAGCCATGGTATCCGACTCGTGGTGGAAGGGCTGGACAAATGATGATATCAAAGGGTATAGAGTGTGAAGGAGAGATTGTGCAGAGAGGGATAGAGGGGAGGGTAGTAGGGGGACCAACAAGGTTTAATACTCGAGTTGCCCCTTTTAAGAATAAGGGTACAAAAAATTCATGACGGATATTCAGCTACCGCTGGCCGAATGATAATCCTCCATGTTTATTATGATTATCGAAGATCCATAGGTGGTCAGCCTGAATCAGAATCGAAGCTCACCTCCCGAGTGTTACAACCTCCTGCGGGACACAAAGTGGGATGGATGGAACGGACTGGATTGGTGTGGAGTAAATTACTAACCGTTGTTCATCCCTAGTGCTCCATAGTACTAGTAGGAGGTCCTTACACCGCACTACCGACACCGCGAATAGTCCCGTTTAGCCGGGTCGCTTGTTCATGTTGTGACGTTGTCCCCGCAGTCCGCGGGGTTTTGCATCTGGACACTCTTCATTGGTTGAAACCAGGCTCGAAATCCATCTTCAATTGGAGTACATTCCTCTAATCTCTATGGTACTACCACATAGGTCTACTTTGGAGTATTGTCCCTATGGTGTCGGAGAATTGAAACATCACCGCAGAGGAAAGGAATTGTCCGAGGATACTTGTGTTCGACACGCAGTAGATAGATGGGTGTGTAATATAAGCTACCTAGTTCCGGAGTATCTCTTCCCCTGCCAAAACTGCTGCATGGTAGATCTATACAACCACCCTGATCCATAGGGAAATAGCCCGATGGAGAGATTGGTGCTTGTCTTGCAACAGTATCGATAGTTGGCTACTCAATATATTCGTCTCAGGGTATCAATCGACATGAACACAGAGTTACCTTCCTGGCCTTGAATACTGTCATTGAAACGCCCACTCGGTTAAATTAATATACAAAGGCTATTTTAGCCTCCCGGTGGGTCTCGAAGCGTCAATGACCCGCGAAAGCCGAAAAGAAAAAAAGAAAGAAAAGAAATCATAAATTCACGACATTCAAAGGTCGCACAAGAACCTCAAAATCTCGGCGTTTCATTGGTTCAGCCCAAAATGCGGTTCATGGACCACCCAACACTCTCGTGGACTCCGCCAAGAGTGGCAATTCTCCGGCGGGCTCGTCATCCTTTGGTGGAGAATATCATTCGCGCCGGGCAGTTTCTTACCGACATCTTCGACATCATACTCGAGCCAAGCTACTTTTCGACGATTCATGTTCTTCGTGCCGCTGGAGCATGCCGAAAAGGCGATATCTTGCTCTAAGCTATGGAGTATGAAAGATACAGATGCTCACATGACAGGGGTCCACTCGACAGGATTGAGACATGATCAGACGCGGGTGGAGGAAACAAATAAATGAGAAGTCAGACACGAAGCTGCTGCGCAAGGGTCCGGACCAGAATGAAACCAGGCAGTCCTTTGCCTGCCTCGTTGGACTGAGGGCTATCCGTCGCCCTCCTGCAGAAGCAATCCGCTGACACTCTCATGGAAAACCTCCAGTGGAACATAGAACAATATCAACTAAGATACTTACAAGGATGATTGGCACAACAGGCTAGAAAAGAACAACAGACTGAGCCTCTTGAGGATTATAAGTGACACGTCTATCCGCGAGCCACAGACCCATTCGAGGTGCTGGTGAACCGAAGAGTAGACGTGATCTACTGAGCCGAAATTGACACCACCGCATCGAAAACACTTTATATCTTCCAGAAGAAGCTTAATCTTGTTTGTGTCCACTCCAAGCCGGATAGAAGAAGTAAATCTTATCGGTTGTTTGCTACTTTAGCCCGAGGACCCCCCGCGCCTCTCACATGGATGTTGGGGCCTTCTCGCGATCTGCCCAATCCCAACTGAGCGTCTGTTTGCAGGCCTGTGGATCATCATATCGATAGCATGACGTTTCTTGCAGGTGTGCCGGTACTTGTGATTGGTCACTCCAAGTCATTCGAAGTTGCCTTAAGCATACGGATGGTTAATTTGGCTGTTAATAAATAGACAGCTTTTGGTCGTGCCAGCGATTTTGAGATACTTCTAGAACCGATGGTGACGACGTGCAAATAATCTCGCTCTAGCATAGATCAATACCCGGGACCGTCGCGCTATATCAGGGAGCCGACTGGGCCAGAGAGTACAGACGTCAAAAGAAAACCACCAGGTATTGCAATGCGATCACAACTCGGGTCGTAGCTCATAGCTTCTAGGCCAGAGACTGTATCAGATTTGGGAGAGTTCATTGCAAGCCTTCCGATAGGATATGCAGAGCTTCGTAACAAAGAGCCCGTGGACGCGTGGCTGACAACAACCGAGACAGACCTGGTATATCTAGCCTTTGCACGAGTCCAAGGCTAGAGACGTTTGATAATCTAATCAGACATCCTATGAGTCAACCATTCGGAAGATTCTGCGTTCGCTACGCTTCTGCTAGCAGGCTTCATCGGCTGTGTATCGTCTCTTCTCAGACACTCAGCCCACGTCTGCAATTTAGTTGCATAGCAAGAGTCTCCGGTGGTCCTGAGGAGTAATCTAGAGCTTCGAGTTCTCCGTGCGAATCTCTTAGCAATGAGTACGGAAACAGTGAAGGGATCCGAGCGAGGGCTCGAAAGTAACGTCCCTAAGATTATTCTGGCATTAAAGTTATCTCTGGATATTTACATCCCTTAGAGAAGCCTTCATGACAGAATGCCATCCCTGATGTTGCTTGATGGTATATGGTGAGGGATGAAAGGAAGTCACGTTGCCAGAATCGTGAAAGTGCACCATCATCACGTGACCATCAAAGCGGCGGCCTTTTCCATTCCCTGAAGTTCCCGAGCGTCAAATCTCAGTCTTCGGTCCTTGCAATTGCGCGACAATCCTGTGTTTCCGGCTACTGACCTCCCGCCATTGGACTACTTTGTCCCTCGCCGGTGACCCTCAAAAGTTGTCTCTCTTTTCTTACCCTCTTTCCCTTCCAGTCGCCATCACAATGCCCGTCACGGCTTCCCGTGCCGTGCTGCGGCAATCGCAGTTCCTGACCCGCAGAACCGCGGTCAGATATGCCTCCAACAGTTCTGAGGCCGCCTCAAAGGCCAGTCAGACTGCCTCCTCTGCTGTCTCAAAGGCCTCTGAGGGTCTCTCCCGTGTCACCTCGACGGCTGGTCCTGCGATCTCAAACGCTGCTCAGGGTCTCGGTAGCGCTCTGAGGAAGGTCGGTGGAAGAACCGGGAAGGTCATTGCCTTTGTCGACTGTAAGCAGATTTGTTTCCTTTCCTGCCCTGTTTCGTCCCTCTTGGTTGACGATGGAGTGATTGGCGTGAGTGCTTGACCACTGATTCGGTCATCATTCCGGTCCATCGCTCGGAGAACATTGTCCCTTGATACTGCTCGACAAGTTTCCGCGTTCGGTGCTAACCATTGTGCTCCTGGAATAGCTTTGATACCCCCTACTATCTATTACTCGAAGGTTGGCCTCGAACTCGCCAAGCTGGTATTCCGTGGCCAGAACATGACTCCTCCGTAAGCACATTCAGCACCGTGCAAGACACTACGCGCACACGCAGTCCACTGACTTCTGTATTAGCAACCTGGCTACCTTCCAGGCATACTTCCAGCCTTTGGTTAACGCTGCTCGCAACCCCGCCAACCTCAAGAATTTCTCTCCCCAGAACATCATTTCCCGGGTTCGCAATGCCAACAAGAAGGAGCTTGCTTTCGCGGGCGTTACCGCCGCCGAGGTTATTGGTTTCTTCACCGTCGGCGAGATGATCGGTAGAATGAACATTGTCGGCTACAGGGGCCACGCCGATCACGGCGACCACCACTAGAGCAATTTCAATAAATCATACCTGTCCTGTTTTCTTCCCCTTTGTCTTTGTTCTTTCCTATGCACTGTACTATTGTATGATAGACGATGGAATTCAAGCTGTTGTCTGAGGTAAAACGTCTGAAGTCGGTTGTGCCATGGCATGTCCCATGTGTCGGGCAGTTGGCCATGAAGAGGTCGGTTGTGACAACTGGCTGATGTCTGGGGTGACTTTGCTTAAGAATATTTATTTTGATCTGAAAATATAGACGGACTCTCTATCATAGAATACTCCTTGATTCATTCCATGTAACCCGTCGTCGCAGCCTGGTTTCCCAACCCATATACCTGACTTCTAGAGAATACGGACTGCTTGAACGGTAAAGAGCAAATGCAACAAATCTACTCCAGAGACTACTCGCTCTATAAATCTACACGTTCTTTGAAACACTATATCAAACAGGAATCCATATATTTCAGTTGTCGACCTCTACGGCGATCTTGGTGGATGCTCAAAAAAATCCAGGAGACGGAGCGCTTCCTTGCATCTGATTGGTCGGTGCGGGAAAGAATTTCTGCATTGGGACTTTTTTTTGTTCACGGAGAACCCAACAACCATCGCAACAAAGAACAGCTTTGATCAGACCAGGCGCGATCGCGTACATCGACCTATCTTGCATAAGCACCTATCATCTTATGCGTTAAAGATGGACGCCTTCAAGTTACTGACAAGGGCAACCAAGCTGAAGGGTGGCGCCGCCCCATCATCAGTGCAGAGCTCAACCCGTCTCCCGTCTACGGGCAAGGCGGCGAACCCGCAGCTCTTCCGTAGCTCGGAGGCTGACAAGGTTCTGGAAGAAGCGAGACATGGGAAGAAGAGGAAGAGAGTGTCTGATCCGGAGGCAGCTGAGTCGGATGATTATGCTGCGGAGTTGAACTTTTTCGGCTCGAGTAAGGCTCGGCGGTCTAGTGCTTCGATGGCGAAGGAGCAGGAGAAGGAGCAGCAAGAGCAGCAAGAGCACCGGGATGATGCGTCTGATGCGTCTGATGCGTCTGATGCTGATGATATGGATGAGGTGCAGTGTCGCACAGTGCTGAACGCACATAAAATCAAAGTCACGGATATGCGTGACTTGGAGGAAATCCAGCCTGTGCGTGTCGAAAGTGAGGAACCGAAGAAGAAAAGGAAGAAGAGGAAGCAGCAGGAGGAGTCCACGCCGACGCTCACTAAAAAGGAGCAGAAAAAGGCTCGCAGAGTTTATCCCCAGCCGCTTGTCTCGTTCAAGGAGTTGCGCACCCGGTACAAGATTTCTAGCCGGCTTGCCGAGAACATCGCCGAGCAGGGATTTACTGTGCCTACGGAAGTTCAGCTGGGTACTCTGCCACTGTTGCTGGCGGGTTTTAAACCTTTCGGGAATTCAAAAGATGCTGAGAGCATTGAACCCGACTTATTGGTTGTGGCGCCAACCGGCAGTGGAAAGACTCTGTCGTTCTTGATTCCAGTGATCAACAAGATAGTCCGCCACCATCACGAACAAGAGGAGGAGCGTGGCATCTTCTCTGTCGTCGTTGCACCCACGAAAGAGCTTGCGAGTCAGATTGTGAACGAAGGAAGGAAGCTGGTCCATGGGACTGGGGTGAAGATTACATTAATGAAAAAGGGCATGCGAGTGGTGGAACGCGAGGATGACGACGATGAGAATAGTCACAACGAAGATAGTGAAGAGCCTTCGGAATCCGAACAGGACGAACCATCCATTCCAAGGAAAAAGAAAGGGAAAGCCCCTGTTACAAAGAGCGATATCCTCGTCACTACGCCGTTACTTTTGGTCAATGCGCTCTCAGCCAACCGAACCAAACCTATGGCTACCCTACCTCTGGTTAGGAATATTGTTCTTGACGAAGCAGATGTCCTGCTTGACGAGCTCTTCCGCGATCAGACCCTCGACATCTGGCGCGCCTGCACGCACCCCGAGCTCCGGGCAAGTCTGTGGTCAGCTACCATGGGATCTAACATTGAAGATCTCGCCAAGAGCACCATCAAGGAGCGGAAACAAGCCTACGATCAGACAAAGTCATACCCTTTGCTTCGTCTTGTCGTAGGGTTAAAGGACTCTGCCATCCCTAACATCGAGCACAAGCTGGTCTATGCCGCAACAGAGCAGGGAAAGCTTCTGGGCCTACGACAACTCCTACATCCAGCAGCGGCCGCAGCGTCTGATGTCCGCCTCCGCCCACCCTTCCTGATTTTCACTCAGACCATCCCCAGAGCTATTGCCCTGCATTCTGAACTGCGGTATGACATTCCCGCCGAGGCCGGCGGATCCTCACGAATCGCCGTCCTTCACTCAGATCTCTCCGACGGCCAGCGATCTGAGATCATGAAGAACTTCCGCAAAGGTGAAATCTGGATCCTCGTGACGACAGATCTATTGGCGCGCGGTGTGGACTTCCGGGGCATCAACGGAGTCGTCAACTACGACATTCCGAACTCCGCTGCAGTCTATGTCCACCGAGTTGGGCGAACGGGCCGCGCTGGCCGCGAGGGTGGCATCGCAGTAACCTACTACACCAAAGAAGATATCCCGTACGTCAAGAGCATTGCCAACATCATTGATGTCAGTGAGAAGCTGCGCGGCAAGGACGGAGAAAAATCGATTCAGAAGTGGTTGTTGGATGCCTTGCCGGACTTGAGCAAGAAGGACAAGAAGGAGCTGAAGAAACATGGTGTCAAGGCCCGACAGTCCAACCTCAAGAGCGTCAAAGACGACAAGGAGCACCGGAAGACAAGGATCAGTACCAAGAGCGGATTTGATCGACGGATGGAGAACAAGAAGAAGGCCCTCATTGCAGCCAGTCGCAATAGAAAGTCCAAAACGCAGTCTACTGACGCTGGCAGCGACAACGAGAGTTGGGATGGCCTCGATGGCTAGGTCTTTTACTGGTATCTACATGTATTCCTGTGCAAATAAAAGTTACGATTCCCCCAGAATAGCGATTCAGATCATGAATTATCATTTTTATTACTCTGTTCAACCTGAGGAACCTGCGGGACCATCGTCCTCTTGAGCTTTATTGGCGCAAACGGATTATCCAGCTTACCCTCCTCCTCGAGAACCCACTCCAACTCATCACCGTCCCGGTCAAAGTAGACCGCCCAACTCCAATCCTCTTCCTGAACAGCCATAAAAGCACTCTTCCCTTCCAGCGTGATGGTCGTCTCCTCGTCCGCCCAATCCCAAGGCCCGACTACATGCTGCACACTCTGCGACCGATTCCCATACTTCAGCTCATGTGTCTCTTTATCCGCGTAGATCCAATTCAGCATGGGTGGGTTATCCGAGATGGTAGTCACGAGGCCCAGTCCTCTTTTCAAATGCTTCGTCTCCTCCAGCTCGGGGTAGTCGATGTAGAACGATTCGGCCGTGTGAGAGGGGTGTTTACGATTGGCGGGGAGGGGATCATCCAGATAGACCTGTCCGATTAATTCCCATAATAATCAGCTCAGTGCATTATATTATAGGTACCTTGTTGTCCCTCAAGACTATCCGCTTCCCGCGTATCTCGTCCTCTTCTTGTGTTTCGCCTGAGGTTTCAATGTCGATGTTGAAGCGCGCCATCCGTCTGGCGTCCATTTTGCGTTCGTTGGCTTTGCGCTGTTCGCTTACTCCCATTGCCACGCCGGTGACGGTGGGGATTGCGGTAATTGCCAGGAGGCCGATGACCATTTTGCTAGACTGTGATTGATGGATATATATGTTCAAGAAGGTTTGACGATTTGGAGTACGAGTGCTCGAATGTAAGATATATATACAGGTCTGAGAATATATGACCGATTTCGAGTCAGTGACTGGTTGTTGATGGGGTATCGCATGAAGATTATTTGTTTGTATGGTTAATGTAACTCTACAGTAGACATTAATATTCTAGATCGCTTCTTGCTGCATCTTGTGCCTCGTGGCTATGTCGTCATACATCAAGCGCACGTGATTCAGAACATACTTTCCACCTCCTCGCTTACATTGTCCAGTGCAACCAACAGAGAGTACTCATTTTGATCTCAGATACTGCGGATTCTGACAAAGTTATGATTCAGTAGTTGATTAAGTGGCAAATGAGTCTATGAACATTTGCAAGAACACCAACGCATGCTTATACCAAACAGGAGACTGATCCGCTAGAATGCAACAGTCTCTATTCTTCGTCTAGTTTCATCGTCAATCTATCGTCTATCGTCGTGACTTCGTTGAGACGGATCGACATGACCCGTATGAGAAGCGGTAGGCTAGAGCTTCTCGCTCCATCCCCAGACTGACCACCAGCATCGGACCTCAAGCGCACCCCCGTCCGCCCCTTCCCAGTCGTCGTACCCCACCTCCTCGCCTTCTTCCACCACCGCTAAGCCGAGTTGTTGCATACGTTGTCGAAATTCCTGCACCTGAGGTAGGTATGCTTCCCGCAGAGGCATCTCGACCACAACACGAGCGTCCAGTCCGCGGCTCAGCCAGTGGCCGACCGTTTCAACCAGCCATTTGGGATGCTTTGGCGAGTACAACGGATCCGCGGCTAGAATGAGATCGTACTGTTCTTCCCTTGTTGGGGGTGGTGACGGGGCAACAGACCAGTCCAGTACCCCTGTTGTGACCGCTGCATCCGTTCTTGTGAGCAGTTCGACATTTAGGGAGACGTTGTGGGCTAAATTTGGTACGATGTCCGGTAGGTCTGTGAGATGGATTGTCGCCGAGCTGCCGCGGAGAGCTGCGAAGGAAAGGCCCACCAGTCCGGTCCCGGCGCCGAGCTCTAGCGCTCGGAGCGTCCTGTCCGACTTGGGAGTGGTTGATGACGAGGGGACGAGCGGCGGTGTGACGTCGAGGATGTTGTGGAGGCGCCGGGAGAGGAGGTACGATGAGACCCAGGTTTTCATGCCTAGGTTGTCAGCGGTCAATGAGGGCTCGTGCAGTGTCAGTGTGAGCTCCTCGTCGGATGAGGTAGGGATTGTGAAGACTCGGGACATGGCTGGCATGGCTACGTTCAGGAGACCCCGCGTTAGAATTCGCAAACATCACTACGATTATATCGTCTCATACCGGTACGTCCAGCCCGCTCGCTCAACCTAGCGGCAGCAGTGTCCCAAATGGCCTCCCGCAGTTCATCAGTGTCTAGCCATGAAAGAGAGCTGGAGACGATGGACGTCAGATAGCGGGTTACTCCGCTTGGGTCGACTGTTCTGCTCTTCACCGCTCCTTGGCCAGCACTGGTGCTGAAACCGCGTGGTTTGACTGCGAGAAGGTCAAGAGCTCGGAGAAGATCGGTGCCGGAGGGTTTGCTATATATCTGGGGAAGGTCGAGGACTGTGATAGAGGCTTATCAGCCCGATATCGCATCTTTATCACGGGCAGGCGGACATACCATGGAGAGGCTCGTCGAGATCGGCACTGATCATGATGGCAGTGGTCTGGTAGGATTAGCAACTTAATAAGTGAGAAATAGACTACAACAAGACAGCGTCATGCATAATTTGGTCTTATAATCGGCACTTTGGCTTCTGCTGTGGCGAAGAGGTGCTGGCGATGCCACGATCCAGGCACAAAAAAAAAAGTCGAGATTACCCGAATAGGAAAGGTCGGCGTTCGTAGTCCCGCCGCGGATCCGGGCTCCGCTTCGACCCAAAATAACCCGAAGAGACAACTCCGACACGAGTTAAAAGCGAGAAAAACGATTGGACTCATAAAATGCCATATCAACGCAATGCACAAAACCGTAAGGCTGTGTCAGCAGATACTCCAGACGCCTATCGCTCATGATAACAAACAACAAGACTAAGAAATGCTATAATTTCTACCATCAGCCCAACGTCGACTTGAAACCCTGATAAGCCTGCTCAATGTCAAAGGCCAACTCCCGCGCTTGTTCCTCGCTTAGCTCCTCTGTTGCGCGCATCTGATTCAATGTAATCAGCCACTGAATGATTTTGCCGCGGTTCTCAAAGTCCCCATCCGTCACTTTGTTTACGGATTGAATGACTTCCGACAGTAGCGGGTGGAGTGCATCTTTGGACACCATGTTCAGCTTCAGAGCGTCCAGGAAGGTAATGAAGTTCTCAGTAGCCGTCAAAATGAGGCTGCCTAAAGCGCCGCCAACAGGACCTCCGGTGGTTGGACCTGCGTTGCCTGAAGGTGCTCCATGGGAGGCTTGTTCGACTGTTGCGGGAAGGCCGATGCGGAGACGCTCAGTCGCGCGAGGGCATTCCAGCTGCCAGAATAGTCAGCTACCAGTACAACAACTGTACAAAAAATGTGCGCTCACCCCCCATGTCCGCTTGAAGGTTTCCAGATCAACGAACGCCGCTGCGACGGCCTCATCGCCCAAACTGGACTTGTACTGCTTTAGTAGCCGGGTACATGTCTCGGTGTATTCCGCCTCTGTAACCACATCCTTGATATATGCCTTCTCGAGTCCATCAAGTGTGACAATGATACTGTAAATCTCGGCCAGCGATTCATGTAGATCGCGCTCCGCGGAGCTGGAGGCTAGTTTCACTTCCTGGCACGACGGTAGTTAGCCAGCAGCTCAGCACGCAGGCGGTCGGAACGGGAGTACCTCATCGAGATTGATGGTCGCCGACAGCGCCGGGTTAGGCGTGTAGCTGTAAGGTGTAGGCGCATACGAAAGAGGCCGTTGAGCATACATGATATGTTACTTTCCAGCTCACTATCCTGATCGTAATAGCTGGATGGGTGCAGGAGGGGAAAGGCGGTCACCCGATTGGGCGGCTTTGCGTGGATTCTGCCCCGACAGGAATTTTTTTTCCCTCTTGCTTTCTCTGCACGCTTGGCTTTTCAATAGTTCAACCATCTATTTCCAGACTTCGACTCCATCCTCGATAGGATTGGAGAATATACGGCAAGATGGCCGGAAGTCAGAAGAAGTCCACGAAGAAATTCGAGAAAAAGCATCTGAAAGATGTACTCGAACGGCGCAAGGCGAACGCGAAGATTAAGCAGCGCATCCATCTCAAAGAAAAGCGCAAGGCTGACAATGCTCGGGGCGTGAGAATGGAGATGCTGAGGAGGAGAGTCCCGAGGAACGTAAGAAGCAGGATGCTTTTGCGGAGATGAACGTCGACGATTTTTTCGCGGGCGGATTCGAAATTGCAGACGCCGATACAGACAAGGCCAAGAAGGCTAGGAGAAAGGATGTTACCCCCAAGATTGGCAAGCGGAAGCGGTCAGAGGAACAGAAGGAAGAAGAGGAAGAAGAAGAGGAAGCCTCATCTGCAGCCTTAAGTGAAGGCGAGGAAGATGGTGGCGTATTCGACGATGATGCGGAATCTCAGGCCAGCAGCGCACCCGATGATTTCGAGGCACACAAGGACCAGCTTCAATCGTTGAAGGAGAAGGATCCCGAATTCTACAAGTATCTGAAGGAGAACGATTCGGAGCTGCTCGACTTCGGTGAACACGGAGATCTCACTGAGGTCCTCGAGCTGAGTGAGGATGAGGAGGAAGAAGGGCCCGCAAAGAAGAAGAAGAAGAAGAAGGCGGCCAAAGATGAGGACGAGGAAGCTGCAGACAACACGCTCACAATCGCGATGGTCAAGAAGTGGCAGAAGTTGATGGAGGAACAGAACTCGATCCGCGCCATGCGGCAAGCCGTGCTCGCCTTCCGCTGCGCAGCGTACATCAACGAGGCGGAAACCCAAGAGCAAAAGTACTCCATCTCGGACCCCGATGTATACCATCAGGTTCTTGTGACGGCACTTGGTACTGTGCCGAAGGTGCTCGCACATCATCTCCCGGTGAAGGAGGCGGCCTCCGGAAAAGTCAGGGTGTCTCTGGATTCGAAGAAATTCAAGACCCTCACACCACTCATCAAGTCGCACACGTCCTCACTTCATCAGTTGCTCGTCAATCTTTCCGATGCGTCGACGCTCAAGTTGACCCTTTCGTCCATCGAGCCGATGCTCCCCTATCTGCTGCAATTCAGAAAGCTCCTGAAAGTCCTCATCAAGACCATTGTCGGTATCTGGGCTGATGTCTCGACGACGGAGGCAACGCGTATCACAGGCTTCCTGCTACTTCGCAAACTCATGGTCATTGGCGACTCTGGGCTCAAGGAGACGGTGCTCAAGGCCTCGTATGAAGGTGTGGTCAAGGGCAGCCGGAACACAACCGTCCACACGCTCTCCGGAGTCAACCTGATGAAGAACTCGGCCGCCGAGCTCTGGGGCATCGACCAGAACATCTCATACACGACGGGCTTCAGCTTCATCCGGCAGCTCGCCATGCACCTCCGCAGCAGCATCACCAACACCTCCAAGGAATCCTACAAGACCATCTACAACTGGCAGTACACGCACTCGCTGGACTTCTGGTCGCGCGTCCTCTCCCAGCACTGCGACGGCCTCGCCGAAGCCAAAGCCGGCAAGCAATCCGCCCTGCGGCCTCTCATCTACCCCGTCGTCCAAATCACCCTCGGCGCGATGCGCCTCATCCCCACCGCAACCTACTTCCCGCTCCGCTTCCAGCTCACCCGCGCCCTCCTCCGCCTCTCGCGCGCCACAGGCACCTACGTGCCCCTAGCCCCGGCCCTCCTCGAGGTCCTCAACGCAGCCGAGATGCGCAAGCCCCCGAAATCCAGCACCCTCAAGCAACTCGACTTCAGCACCGCCATCCGCGCCCCGAAATCCTACCTCCGCACGCGCATCTACCAGGACGGCGTCGGCGAACAGGTCGCCGAGCTGCTCTCCGAGTTCTTCGTCCTCTGGACCAAACACATCGCCTTCCCCGAGCTCTCCGTCCCCATCGTCGTCGCCCTGAAACGCTGGCTGAAGCAGGTCGGCTCCCGCACTTCCGGCAACAAGAACGCAAAGGTCAACCAGGCCATCTTGCTGCTTGTGCAGAAGGTCGAGGCCAACGTGCGCTGGATCGAGGAGAAGAGGCTGAATGTCACGTATACGCCGCGCAACCGCGCCGAGGTCGAATCCTTCCTGAAAGATGTGGATTGGGAGTCGACGCCTTTGGGTGCATTTGTCAAGACGCAGCGGAAACTGAGAGAGGAGAAGGCTGCTATTCTGGAGCAGGGACGGCGCGAGGAGGAGAAACGGCGCGCAGCGGAGAAGAAGGCCGACGAGGATGAGATGATGGAGGACGCGCCTAGTGATGATGGAAGTGAAGAGTCATCTGGCGAGGAGGAAGAGGAAGAGGAGGAAGAAGAGGAGGAGGAAGAGGAAGAAGAAGAAGAGGAGGAAGAGGAAGAGTTTGAGGAAGAGTAGATGCCCTCTTCTTCTAGATACCCTCCTTCTGTCTTAAGGTTCTGTTTGTTTCGTTTATTCCATCTAGTCCTGTAGATTGGGACAATTCCTGCTGTGATATCTATAAAAGTTGCAAGGTTCGGGAACATTGTACACATACACCTCAAGGGACCATAACGGTCTTTGATTACATACAAATATGCATGTGGACTATGAAGTAGAGAAATCTATGGCTAGAATGTTCTATCTACAGTAATATATGAACACCATAATCAGGTATATATGCAAAATCAACGCAAACGGAAGATAAAAAAATAAAATAAAAAAATAAAACAGTATAGCCGCCTCGTGTATGAACGGCTCGAACGATATGAAAGGAAGACTAAACCGTTCCCACAGGCATCTTGTCACTTCCGTACGTACGTGTCTGCTCACGCCTTAGAACAGCGTCTTCCTCTTCTGCCCAAGCGAGCGATTCACTCGGCGGCATTACTGCCTGATCAATCGCAACAGGAAGACCTCTGTGCCGTCCCCGCAGTGTAACAGCCGCCAGAATCAGCTTGCTGATGGCATGCCACGACCCGCAGAACGAGTAATTTTTGCCTGGAAAGCCAACGCTGATGCCGACGCAGCCATACGCGGAGACAACCTCGAAGATGATGTTAAAGGTCGAGTAGGCGACTGGGTTCTCGGAATAGTGAGGCGACTCGGCGATGGTAATGAAGAAGACTGCGAGGGCGATCCACCAGACGTCATGGCTGAGTTGGGAGCGGAGCTGTTGGTGGACGAAGTAGCTGCGCGAGGACTCAACCGTTGAGGCATCCTGGCGCCCGAGGAGGTGATGTCGGATTAGGCTCATGACAATATTGGGGGATTGGTTGTCATGTGCGTCGCGCGGTTCGTCCGAGGCGTAAATGCCTAGGGAGCGCTCTTCGTAGACATTGGTGTTTCTGCGGCAGTTAGCAAAGGAAACTTGGAATAAGTGGACCAGACGAACCTCATGGTCACCAATACTGGGAACGCCGAGACGTACTGCAGAGTGGTTAGCGGGGTATTTGGACAGGTTAGAACGACCACTAAACTGACCATCATGAGAACTACAGATTGTTAGCAGACGTCACGTAGATTCCATGTTACAAGTCTTACCGTATAACACAAGTAGTCCCTGACGCAATTCAGAGATAGTTACAACATAGAACCCTCCAGAGCGCACAGCTATACCAGAGCAGTTAGCAGCTGGAGATGAGCATGACCATCAAGACCCTCACCCAAAGCCTGGAACAGCCCATCTAAGATGCGATAGCCTGCCGGCAGTGTCTCTATTTCTTTATTTCCAATCGCCAGAACCTCGAAACCGGCCCAGTCGATTCCATTCAAAATGATGATGGTCCCTAGCAGGTACCATGTATGACGGACAGGGAAGAGATTAGTGTAAACCTGCATTGGACAGTTAGCTCTATGATAAAATATCGTAGTACTACGTGGTGCATACCCTTCTGGGATGGTCGAGGATAAAATCCAAAGTGACCTTCCAGGGCTCACATGATGGCCGATTCGCCATCAAGCGTCTCATTGTCCAGATGATAAATCGTAAAAAGCAGGGGTAGAGAGTATTCCCTGCAAGAATCAACATGCCCATTGTAACAAGTGGGTACGCACTGTGGCTAGTCAGCGTTGTGCCCACGAATTAGAGAAGGTAAATTACTTTGTTTGCAGAGCGGTCATGTTCGCATCCAAAAGGGACATTCCACTGTTGACAAACGCAGAAACAGCAAAGAAAGCGCCAGTCCAGAAGGGCGACAGGCCATTTGCCCGAGGAATCTCTGGATGGTTTACTTCCAGCCAGCAACCGACCCCCACAATGCCGATGATTAGGAACGTCGCCCAGTATAGCAGAACGATGACCGACAAGAAGGAAACTGCCTTGTACTCGACACCGCCCAGTTTCTCACGTTCCTCAAGCGTAAGACCATGAAACTGGGAATTCCGTGAAATGAAGCCTTTTGAGGCGAAGTATTTCTGCGTATCTCTTAGAATCCCCTTCAACCGTGGGATATCGTCTGGCTCTCCGTCCAAAGGTACGGTGGGAGCTACATCTCTCGGGTGGTTATTCAAATCGAGTCGAGCGCCCACTCCTGCCATGGGGAAGACTCTGTGGTGATGATGATGATGGCGTGGCTGAATATAGCCAATAGTGATTTGGTCGTCGTCGCCCCATCGGATATGGTCATTGTCAACCGCATTGGAATATTCTAACGGGGCATTTTCCATGGCGGACACCTGAGAGCCCTCAGGACTATGGGGTTCTTCAGGCTGCGAAGCGTCTGTTTTGGTCTTCCCGGCAGGCTTCAGGAAACCAAGAGTGGACTGCCCAAAAAGATTTCTTGCGACAGAACTTTCTGAAATGGACTTGAATTTGAGCTGGAACGCTCGCTTGCGCACAAATAGGACCGTGATTGAGATCAGAATGGCATGTCCGAGGATCAGTAGCGCAAAAATAATGGACTGTTGGAACGTGTTTAGGGATGAGAGGTCCACCTGAAACCAGTTAGCGAGGCTTAACAGTTTGGATTCATGGAACATACCGTGTTCAATCCAGCACCAGTCATGGCACTGACGCATAAGAAAAGCGCATCTACATAATGAACGCTTCGTGAGGGAGTCGCGGAACCCCAGAAGATGATACTGCAAATCAGCGGTGTGGCAATGAAATATGCGTAATGGACGGTGAGGAAATTGAACGGCGGTAACACTGCCATGATACAACGACCGAGTGGTCGAGACCACGTCCGTCTAAGTCGAACTGTTGATTGTTTCAGCCTTCAATGGCTGACAATGACACACCGAACAAACGGCGGAAAGACGTACCAATCATCTCGACAGAGTCTTTCTGAGATAACAAAAGGCAGGAGTAAGAGATTCTGCTGCAGCAGTATAATTTTGGAGGATGCGAAATAGATGACTTCTTTAATAATGGCGAAAAACCTGAGGTTGAGAAGCACGTTCCACTGGTGCTTCTCTACCCGCCGTGGGAGCGCACACCGCTAGCCACAACAAGGGTTTTGAAAGAATTCTTTGACAAACTGAAAGGTTTTTAATCTTGTTCGATAGTCCATTGCTTTGAATCTAGGGTTTCTGTAGAGCGTTGTTTTGCTGTGTTGGTGCGAATAGTCGGTGAACTTGATAGTGGGAAGCAGAAAATTCTTCCACAATGGTGGTATGGACAATAATGACTCTGTTATGACGGATACTGGGAGAAAACAGACCAAAGCGTGTGTTATTCCATTTCACTAACGATTTCAATAGTCAGAAGACGGTTGTATAGACTGCTAATGGTGGTGTTGTTGATGACGAAGAGAAAAAAGAAAAAATATGCGGAAGAGGAAAGATAAGACGATAAAGAAGGACATCCGAGGTGGATCAGGAAGCTTATCCGATTAAGAAAGAAGCTTCTTACAGGGCCGCAGATCTCGGCCTGATAGGGCTGTTCCTTGCTGATAAGGCATACACTGCATACATACATTGCATCTCTGAGGGTTCTGAATATCTATTACCTTCGCAGCCGAATACATTTGCAAAAGATCCTAGATATCATGACGATTGCTGGAACCATCTTCTTCAATATTGACTTGTTTGTATTCACAACTTACAAGTTGATATACGCTTAAGCTGCTGCCTAAGCCTAAAATATGCGAAGCCTGAACAGGATCTTGACGTAAGCCAGGACCTACAAACCACCACCGAACACCTAGTTGAACTACCAGATTACGCTAGCATCATGCCTTCCACCCCCTCTCAGAACAATAAGACTGGCACTCTTCCTCCTCCTCCTCCACCACCTCCGCCACCTCCACTGAGTGCTGGTGTGGCTCCCGCTCCTGCTCCAGCACCCCAACCTGAACCGCCGGCCGTGGCGGAACAAGGCCCACCTGGGGCCTTTCTCGTTGAACTACTGATCTACAATGGCTATCCCTTCAAAGACCACTGGGCGTACTGGGTGCGTTCGCACACCGATAAGGATCTTGGTGTCAAGATCCATGCTACTGGCGACGTGAGGAATGGCTTCGAGTTTGAGATTAAGCGCAGCAGCAACTTCCGCACAAACGAAATTCCCCCACGAAGAGAATCCCGTTGCAATGGGTCAATGGCCAGTACTTTGATGAAAAAGCGATGTTTAACAACGGAGAACACAAAATCGACAATGTGCCTGTATGTCAGTTGGAGGCTAGTGCGCACAAGATTAAGGCCCCTGGGAAGAGCCTGAATACAACGAGTGGTACCGTAAGTTCCAACTACATGTGGCACGACGTCAGAATATAGCAGCTAACCTAGAGACCTTCAGGCCTCATCAGCCGGAAACGTTGGCAAGAAAGTCACACAAAGGAACTGCCAGACATGGATCGTCGAGTCCGCTGAGCAACTCGTCAAGGATAATATTTTCAGGAGAGAAACTGCTGATTACCTTTGCGCAATTGAGCAGTGATCATGTTCCGGAGAATCTATTATTGGCACCAGCGATATATATAGGCCTTGTTGTTTCTGCTGTGTTGGCCAGTGAAACCATTGGTACTGAGCAGCCTTGACCAACTATCGGGGTACGCATTTGCCAATGCTCATCATGACCATATGATCTTTCCCTGATGATCTGCGGATCGCGCTGGACCATTCCAAGGAGGTGGAGGGTACAATTAGGTCTGGATGTATAAAGTTTGTTGTATCACTGCTGCATTGACCCTAATACTGCTATCATCCCTACTACCTAGCTAGAGACGGTTGCCTAGTCATTCTTTTGGCTGAGTGGTTTAAATATGACAGGCGTCATATGGGAACCCAGATGTGGAATGTTTCCTGTTATCATGTAACCAAACAGTCGATTACATTTACATTTGCAAAAACTGTAGATGGCATTATTAGGGTTGACACAAGCTTGAGTTTTTTCTTCTGCTGAACGCCACAAACGCATAGTATCAACTCCCCAATGTAAGAGACATCAAGATTTTGTTTCAAAGACCTTATCATTTTCATGTGGCGGCCGAGTTCGTCACTGATAGCTCGTATCTCGTCTTCATTCAAGCTGGCCCATCTCTCCATTAACATCCGTCCCTCGATGAATTCGCATGTCAACAAAAGTCTGTCTCGCATCCTCCGCCCAGTTAAAGACCTCAAAGAACAGGGACACGGTTCCGTAATTGCTCGCGTAGCATTATTTGAGTCTGGGCTTCGACAATGGCTACATGCACGCCGTACTTCACAACCAATCCTAGCGATGAAATCATGACAGATGGACGTAAATCCGCTGGTTTTCCCTTGAAGAAGCTGAACTCAGGTGTTATCTTCATTTGGGTGGAAATGGGATTTCGGCAATAGCATGTAGACCTGAAGGGTCATATGGAAAGGTAAGAGGTGAGCGCGAGTCCGCGACTTGAGGCAGGTTCGATTCCCTACCTCGGATTTGGTGAAACCGTCGGTTTTTTCTCTGTCGATAGACCAATATTTATAGATTAATAGATAGATTAGTGGAGGCTATATATGAAATATCTGGTCAAAATATCTAGTGGTTGCACGTCCTCAGTGAACTAGACATCAGGGTATCGATTCCAAACATGTATCTTTCAGATCATCCGCGTAGTAAGCAATGAAGATGACCGTATCACAGAAGATCCGCCTGTAAAGGGAAGCTCTTCCAGTACTGGCTCCAGTGTTTGTTCGGTACCCCCGCGTGGACGGCCAGATTTCATTCAAGAGATCATAGACCTGCTGCGGTATATGTAGACGGCCGTCTTGAAAAATGTCGTCCTCTCGCCACAACTCCCATGCTTCCTTCCCAATCTCCCGCACGTCCGGCTTTGTTTGGCAGCAGAAATCGGGCCGGGTGAGAAGAAATGAACGACTCAGTGGTCGGATCACATGCTTCTCCTCCCTCGAATAGAAGTTTGCTCCGAAGGGTATGATGCGTAGCTTTCTCAGTCTTTTGCTGGGTTGACTTGCCGCGATGAGGTCCCAAATACTCATTGCAAGGCTTTCATCTGTCGCAGCATTGATGAGAGTCTCTCGCAAACAGGTAGTGCTAGCGATTTCAGGACCGATGGGTGACTGTCTGGGATCACAATGCAAATCCAGGATCAAGGTATGCAGCTGTGTGAATTGACCGATTGCTCTGTATATGTTGCACTCCTGGGGACTGCCTCCTCGGCGCTTGATCTGAAGCCGAAGTTCCTGCAAGCTTGGGCAACAGCCTACCAGCTGAGAAATATGTTGACTGTCTAAAACGGGGTACTTGTATCCCCACATGTACAGCCGTTCTTCCTCCGATGCCTCAATTGCAAGGCCCTGCAATGATGTGCCATGATGCTGAAGGATGTGATCGAGGGAAGAAGTGCTGCGTAAGCCGCGCAAACAGAGGAACCTCACCGGAGCAAAAGCTCGGACTGCGGCCACCATCTCTTCGTCATCGGCATTGACATCTTCATTGGGTTTGGCCCACGGGTCCATGGTAACAAACAGTCGCTCTAAGCTGTGGAAAAGCGAAGCAGCTTGTGCCAGCAAGCTCGGGCTCGAGTGAATGGACATATCCAAGGAGCGGAGCCGAGATAGGTCGATAAGGTTCCCTAGTTTCAGCAGAATCTCCTCCAATGGCCCGCGCCCAGATCCGAAGTGCAATGAGAGTGAGTCCAAACAAGCTGCCGGGACGGGCTTAAAATCAGCGGAGAAGTCTTTCCATTCCTGTTTGATTTTCATGATAGAACCATCGTTGGGTGCAATGATAGCCTGTATGGTTAAACGCTTTAGGTTTTGACCCATGCAGACAAAGGGAAGAAGCTCGTCGAGGTGAACAAATCCTTGACCTCCACTGGGGTGGTATGCGGTAAAGTAATTTACGGCAAAAGTATGGAGACCTGGCGACTGGAGTATACTAATCTCAAATGGATCATCCATGGAGGCTCTGTATCCAGGGTCAGGCATTCCCCGGCCCGGTACATCAATGCTCAAGTCCTGAAAGAACCAGATGTTCACCCTACATTTGGGATGATACTGGCAGATGAACTGATGAACGGGTGCAGGGAACATGTTGTGTGCTGCGTAATTCAGCTCTTCTAGGTGCTCAAGTCGCGCGATCAACGACACGAGCGGCTGCCACTCCTTCTCCGAATAGTAATCAACACTCAGATTCAGAAATCTGAGATCCGAGTCGATAGACTCGCTGAGCTGGTGTTCCAGGAACGTGTCCCGGTGAGCTGGCCGAATGTAGTCGGCAAACTCCATCCCCCAGTCTTTAACCTGCCAGAGGCTCCTTGCTTTCTTGGTCTCGATATACGGTTTATAAAGGCAAACCACATCCAATTTACGAGCATATTTGAGAAAAGTCTGCCCTTTTCCACCATGATCAACCTCAGATGCGGTCTCCTGGAGCTCAGCCAGGTCTCGGAATTTTACTCTGAGTGATTTGAACAAAAATGGGGCCACTAGGTCACTCCACAGTCTGTTGGTTAATCTTAGCTGCGGAAGATCGCCTGGGGAGTCTGTTTTGATCTGGAATTTTGTTAGTATGCTGAGAATACAGACAGTAGGCGAAGACAGACCATAAAACAAATGTGTCGCAAGATCTCGATGGGAAGATCCTCCATGGTGTTGTAGAGAGGTGAACGTGGTGAGAAACGCGCTAATGTGGCTGGCAACATGCCATTTATTTATTTCTGCCCCCTGGGAAGGTCATCTTAGTCCTTAGTCCTTAGGCATCTTTACTCAAAATCACGTGTGTTAATCTACCGATGCAAAACCTTGAGATTGTGAATTTAGCCTGATTCTCCTCATATTTTCCTCCAGTTGCTCATCTTGATTTGGGCGCTTGGGGCTTGGGTTTATCTTGGCGAAAGTCCCCAGTGTTCTCGGAAGCATACATTCTGTCAGACTGTTTTGGATTCTATGTAATAGCGCGAGATGGACTTTGTTATATATCAAGTCGCTCAGCTAAAAAGGTGTCTAGACAACCATCTCTAGCTCCTAGGGATGATAGCAGTAGAGTCAACACAGCAGGGATATACCAGACTTTATACATCTGGTCCTCTGGACCTAATTGTACCCTCAGCCTCCTTAGAATGGCCCGGTGCGATTCACTGATAATCAGGGAAAGATTGTATGGTCATGATGAACAATGGCAAATGCGTATCCCGATAGCTGGTCAAGGCTGCCCAGTACCAATGGTTTCACTGGGTTCTGGTCAGGTTGGCCCTCCCACACTTCTCGCATCTCGCTGATCTTTTCATGGATCCAATCGTATGAACGTTTAAGCTGGAATTGCATGTAATCATGCCACCATTCATCCCAGGCCGCGACGAAGAGGCTTGTCCCTCCATTATACTCCCTATCTACTTCCCGGAAAACCTTGCGTAGATTCGACACAATTTCCACAAAGGAATCAGAGACCTCTTCGTCGTTCAGATAATGCCAAACGGCAATGGCGGCCTTGATTAATTTGAGCGGTATCCCAGGTAAAGTCGTATCATGGACAAAAGTGGTCCACTTGTTCGCTGCAACGAGATTCTTGTTACCCATAATCTGTTCACGCAGCAAGAGAGATAGGCATCAGCAGACATCCACAATAGATATAGGAAGGGAACAAATACCCGTGCTTTCATCCCGTTGACTGGCTTCTCGAGCAGGTAGAAATTGTCTTTGTTTGTCTTGGTGCCGAGGGCCGCCATGATTCGCCATGCTGGTTGACTGCTATCTCGAAAAGGATCGGAGGAATAAAGCGGGCTGCTAGTACGAAGGATGTTCGAATACAGACCGTTTATGTTGGCTGCCAGAAAAAAGGTGCAATCGATGGGATGGAAATTTGGCACTTTGCCGGAGGCCAGTGTTGCTCCAGTTGCATACTCAAAGAAAAGAGGAATAAGCTGAAGCTCGAGCACATGCTCGGTATCAAAGAAGTCACCAGTCTTGATCATCGGGTCCACCAGGGGGTTTGCGCAGTCGGCTCGAACCTGGTAAGCTCGCGCCCGTTGGAACTGAGTGTCGGTTGATTTCCATTTCCCAGCGCTTGGGTAAGGACGTGGTAAGATCTTCAGGTCAGAGACATAAGTCCCGGATACAGCGCACCAGACCCTGTATGTCTTGGGACTGGCGCGTTTGTCAAGAACACCAACAGATCGCTCGGTCAGATCGCTATCGTCAGCATTACCCTCCAGTTCCTCAGTCCGGCATAGATCAGGATCAGCACCTTCATCGCAGGGATCGCCCAGACACATGGCTGGATTCTGGTTTTTAGCCATAGCGCTCCACGCTCCAGGTCGACACAGAATGTTCTGCGCAACGAATTCAGCACCCAGATCGTACCAGATTTTCAATCCTAGGACATAGGGTTTCAGGAACTTCAGCTCCAGACCGAGGTAGTTATTAGATTTTGCCCAGTTATCCCAGTCGCCAGCCTCGAGCGTTTCCTTTGCATTCATCGAGTTCTCGTCGGTTTTCAGGAGCACCGTCAGTACGGGAATCAACAGCTGCAGATTTTTGTAGCCGTCATCGACATCTCTTTGCACAACAGAAGAGGCCACCAAGCTCGCTCCATCCCAGTTGGCTCTACCCTGGCTGGCTCTATCCCAATCTGTGATCAAGACATCTCTCGTAACCATTATGCTGGATAGGCCGTCCGGGCCCCTGAGCCCAGCGGACACACTCCATTCACCAGGTAACTTTTAAGGGCATTTGCGAACTCTTGCATCTCCGGGTTCGTTCGCCCCGTAGTGGTGTAGTAATTGTCATCGCAACAAAACGCACGTATACCGTGCGAGCAGGTTTCATCGGTATCGTACGTTGCGAGCCGGACCTTGTCTGCGGGGCAAGAATTCATACAGAACGTGGACGGTTGGCCCGAAGGAGGGGAATCGACCGACCGGTACCAAGCACAGTTGCCCCAGGTCTTCTTTTCCTTGCTTGAGTCGTAGCATAGCTTCCGCTCTTCTTGTTTGACACGTTGCAGGGTGTCGTTGAAGGTAAGCTTGCACCAACTGTCGCCGCTTCCTGAGCTGGCGAGCGCCAGTGTCTCAGTTTTACCATCCTGCACAACTGGACATTTCCCAGCAGCACAGTCCGGAAAATTGGACCATTGTAACGTGCTGTACAGCTCAGTTGAGTCCTTTCCGCTCTCACAGCATGCGGCCTGATACCCACCCCCCCTGGTGCAGAGCAGTCCTGTAAGGGACCCGATTTCGAACATGCCGCGTGGACAGGTCGGATTGCAGTTTCCGTTATTGTGTGTATACCAACCACAGCGGGGTACACGTTCTTTAGGACAGCAGAGGGTATGTACGGTGCCACCGCGACACGTAGTGCCCGCGATCATCAGCTCATCACCTCGATATCCTGGGTCCGAACGCTTGACTGCGACATAATCGCCAGTGCAGGTTTGCCCGCAATTAGTCCACTTGCACTGCCTCTGCTTCTCTTCGGTATATACCGTAAGACCGTTGGGCGTAACACTGCTGTCGACTACGACAAAAGACGCTGGCTTGTAATGTGGGACCGCCCCAGACAATGCTCTGGAGTACGTCCCGTTATTTGTGTCATGACTGACAGCCCATACCATGATACCGCCTAGGCATGTCTTTCGGGCAAACTCCATCTTGAGCTTAAAGGTTGCATCATCGTCATACGACGCCCACTGGTTATCCCAGGTAAGTAACTGCACGGCAGCATCCTTGTCCAATGTGGGGTTGAGACTTTTGTTGGCTCGAATGTCGTCAATCTCACTGTTGAGCAGCACACCGGTCTGCCCGCTGCATGGTCCAGCGTCAGAACCAGATGCGAAAAGACATCCTGGGGTCCTGGGATTTTTTTTTTTTTTTTAGTTTAATCGTTGTCTCTGATTAGCCTCGGGCCAACCCAGGATTGGGTAAAGAACTGACCTGCAATTGGTGCTTTGAACGGTAAATGCACGGCTGTAGAAAGCTAACCCTAAAACGACCTTGTCCGGACTAATTCGATTTCTCCAAAGTAGGTCCATTGCTGCAGTGATCTCGGTCAGGTTTGTATGCGCATCCAGATATTCGCCGGTCCACTTATTCCCTGTGAAAGATGAATTAGCCACAGATCTGACATGATATGTCACAGGGTAGGGTCGATAGGGCTGCAACGTGCCTTTATCCCAGGTGCCGTGAAGGTCGTAAGACATGTAGTTGAAATAGTCGACGTGTTTGGCTAGCTCCTTGATATCAAAATGCTGCAAGTACCAGTAGGATGTTGGCAGAGTCAGGCTAATCTCTGCACCGGTCGAAGTACCTTGCAGCGCGCTTTTCAGGTTTGCCATGAATTTCGGAAAATTTGCAAAGTCTGCTGGACGGCCCCGCGATTCACATCCACTGGATATTCCCAGTCAATGTCTACGCCGTCAAACCCGTAGGTCGACATGAAGGAGGTCAGAGACTTGAAAAACTTCCTCTGCTTGTCCTCCGAGGCTGCTAGGTCAGAGAAGACAGACGCAGTCGGGCCTGGATCATTGAAACTCCAACCACCAATGGCGATGTTGACTTTCAGATTTGCCCGGTTTGACTTCAAGCCCGTCAACCTTTTCATTAGTTTGACCTCGTTAGGATGTGGGGCAAGGACTTCGTATGTTTCTGGATTGATGGTTGCGAAGGCGTAGTTAAGGTGCGTATAGATACCTGCGGGAATCTGCTCTGGCCAGATCGCGTGGCAGGGTCTGCTCGTTGCCCAGCCCTCGTAATATCCTACGACTCGGGAAAGGCTGTTCCCATCATCGCATGACGGCCTAGTGACTTTCTTATTGCCGCAGAACTCCTGCGTCGTGCCGCAGAAACCGTATTGGCTGCAACAGACGTTCAATGGACAGGTGGTGGAATTTGCATATTTCTCACCCCAAGTTCCAGGATCACACTCTGACTTCCTTTCGCAGGACGAGACGCATGATTCCTTGCCGCAATCTGATCTCATTGTCAGCGAACTCGTTACCAATCTTGTCTCTCCGTGCATGACCTAGAAAACCGGGGGAGGGTTTAAGAAGGATGCGCAAAAAAGCGCACCGATGAGAAGACATCAAGTGCATCAATGAACACGGAATCCCTAGCTCGGAATTCTTGCGCGGAACATATCGGCTAGCTTAGACTTACAGTCAGGTCCAAAACCACAAACCCCGAATTTGGAACAGCAGCCGATTGCACAGGGCTTGTTTGCACTACATTGGGTAGTGGCCTCGTAGTCGCAATTGGCAACGCAGACATCGGGTCCCTTGACATGGATGCAACGTTAGAGATCCCCAGAACGATATATTACCTCCATCAACAAAGAGAAAGACGTACGCAATGGTCCTGTCCCGTCCCGCAATAGCCATATTTAGAGCAGCAACCCGTTGCGCAGGGATTGGAAACGCTGCAATCCTGCGCAACCACCTCAATCAAGACATATGCAAGAATAAAGAGAGACCATACTCTTCTCAGGAGGCCCATGGTGGAATGAAGAATTCAAGCCTTGGGTTCGAAGGACGGAAAAGACTCGTGGAGCCATTGCAATGGGTTATTTGGATGCTTTATACTACTACTACCTACTTAGAATCCAGAATCCTGCATGGCCCCTGAATGTCCGATCAGAAAGATGGAGTCTATGTCGGCCGAATTCTAGACTACTCATTAATTTGCATGCCTACTAGGTTGTTCGCTCATAGGGAACGCAACTTTCAGAGCGAGAAGTGTATTCGAATTCCGTAGTCGAGGGCCGGAGCCATTTTCGTCCCTATATCTTGCGGGGGCACACTATGGCGGCACCGACTTTCTTGGAGCGGACTCCTTTGGCTGCAGCTTGGAACGCTTGAAATTGCCTGAAAGGAGACCGTGGAAATATTACTGCAAAGCTAGAGTACTATTCATATTGCCCTTATCACGGCGCTATGCTGCGCAAGCCACTTCACACTTCATGATGACTGGCAGTACCACGACTGTGATAATATCGCGTCGAGACTAAGTATTAATTAGATGCAGCGAGATTGTGGAGCACTGCAAATGGGGTCAATGCCTCATGCTTGTCCATCTTGTTCAGTAGTGAACGTTGACTCCGCAAAATATATTGATATGCTCGAGAATCTTGAGACCCATTTGCTCCACTTCGTTTATCCTCGTCGTGATATATTGCTATTTAGCCTTAACATGTTATCCCTCGGAGCCGGCAAACTCGTACTCCAGGCGCAGACATTTGCTTCCTATCAGGGTAAAGAGTAGTGCTAGTAATGCCAATGTAACATCGGTTAGCAGATCCTTGGAAGTGGTGAAATTGTCAAAGAGAAAGCCCGGTCATCGGCTCAAGTGTCCGAAAAGTCAAGGCATTAAAACCACTGTCACAAGCCTAGAGCAGTCTATCCTGTGGTTCAGGGGTTATTAGTCCGTACTAGTACTGGATACTAGTTGCTACTTCTGTCATATTGTGACTATTGTCTTTGTTCCTGCAGATGCCCAGACACCCCGCGTATCTTGGCTTAATATACGGGGAGGTTAGACCCTCAACGGGGCCTAGTTGGGCAGAATGATTGGACAGGAGTCTAGCCGAGGATTAGACCCTGTCAATCATACAATTGCTTCCTACTACTTAGCTCCTGGGGCCCGGTGCCTGGGCCACATTCCGACCTGTTGTACCTAGTCTTGACAAAGTTGGAGTATCTGAATCCATCATTCTATTCGCAGTGTTTCACTTTCACAGCCTCATCACACATGATTGCCCCTGTACTACGTAGTACCTTATATCTACTACACCCTTGTCTAGAAGGTTATTTAGGTTTATCGACAACAAATGAACTGTACCTCTGCTGATTAGCCAGACCTTACTGCGAAGCGAGCCTTACCATCTGTCGCTCATCTCCGGGAGTTTCCTAGAGCATCCAGATTGTACGGTCACTGGACAACCATAATAACAGCATGACTCGAACCACGGAGATGTTTGGTCAATCTGACAGCTAAGCTGCAGGTACTACGCTTGGAGGCGCAGACCATTTAAATTTCAATCTCTAGCAATACTACCCAACGTGCTCATCTCGCACCGTGCTTGGCTCGCATGATCATTGTGATGGATAGTTCATTTCCAGTCTTGCCTAGACGGCAAGCGTGTGATACTATTGAAGCCGAGCTAGCCTGTTGAGTGTATCATGCTCATATCTACAGCGCTTCAAGCTCATATACACGGCCGACCTAGGCAGAACACTGCCGTTATACCCGGAGGGATGGGATAGTTCGAACTGGGCCCAGAATGCTCATGAGGAGAACAAGCAAATTGCAAGGAGGAGGGGATCCAAGACCTCACACCCCGAGTAAAATGGGCCAGCATTGTCTCCAGGCACATGCAAGTACTTTTAGCCATACCTTCTCCCTGAGTGCTCATCTTTCTCTTAACTCCTTGACAGCAGCAACCTCCAGAACTGAACACACAGCTCCAGGATGGCTCGACTCCATGGGCTCTTGCAGAGCCAGAAATCACTTACTCTCTTTCTGGTTCTACTTCTCTGTCTTTTGAGCCCTGTCTATGGCTCGAACCATATCCATGAAACTCTGCACCACCAGCACCAAAAGCGGCGAAATGGAGCAGAACCATCTGCCACTGCGTCAACTGTCGTGTCTCTGCCTTCTATTATCCCATCAAGCCTGTCTGAAGCTGAGAGGCTCATCCAAAAGGCGCAGCAGGCGCTTTCAGTGATGAACAAAGGGGGACTGGCATATCCTCAGTGGAATACGTACCAGTTTCAACCTGACTCGGTTGGATTTCAGCCAGCTGCCACACTCGACTATAACAATGATCTTCCGGCAGACACAGCTGATATTAGGTTGAGCGCAACCAAGAGAAGCAATGAAGGTAGCAAGCACTTCATGTACACCATCTCCCCGGAGCTTGCTGAAGCTGCTCGGCTCGTGGCGGAAGCCTCTCCGTTGCCGTTGCCAGGAGATTATGGGATTGACATAGGAAAAATAATCGGGCAGTACAGAGCCCACAAGACAAATGACACTAATATTCCTGAACAACAATATCTCAAGCCAAATGGACTCGACGGATACGCGCCTGCGGTACCATCATCAAAACCAGCGCAGGAGAGAACCGAACTCAGGAAACGAGCCACGAACGATTTTTGGCTTACAACGATGGAGCAGAGGGGTTCTAGCCCGTTTGCACCTGCAGGATACAAAGTCAGTGTCCCCCCATATTATTCACTTAACCAATTTTACTGAATCCGTCCGGTTTTCATAGGTATGGAGAAATGTCAAGGACTACGGTGCAAAAGGTAAGAGTGTCCAGTTTCAAGTCCATGGATGAGCTCTACTGATTCCCTGCAAGGCGATGGTGTCACCGATGATACTGCGGCTATCAACAAAGCTATATCTGATGGAGGACGTTGTGGAGCTGAGTGTGGTTCAAGCACAATTTATCCGGCGTTTATCTATTTTCCCTCTGGCACATACCTTGTCAGCTCGCCGATTATACAGTACTACAACACTGAGTTCTATGGAAATGTATGTCACCACTCACAGAAAGACTTCTTCCATCATGCACTTCGCTCACCTCCTGGTAGCCATTTGACTACCCAACCATTCTGGCGGCGTCAAGTTTCGTTGGCCTTGGTGTTATAACCTCGGATGTCTATACAGGGGACAACACGCAGTGGTAGGTTTGCCTGGTGATGCTCATCGAGTCTCCAATCTCTGATAACATATCCAGGTACCTGAACACCAACAATTTCTTGAGATCTATCCGCAATTTCAAGATGGACATTACTCGGACGAATCCACTTGCATACGTCTGTGCAATCCATTGGCAGGTTGCGCAGGGAACATCGCTTGAGAATATCATATTCTATATGATGCAAGACAATATCACGACCCAGCAGGTAAGGCTACACAGGTCATTAGTCTTCTACGAGTATAGTTCCTGACCATGTGCTAGGGCATCTACATGGAGAATGGCAGCGGTGGTTTTCTCACAAATCTCACCTTCGTCGGAGGGAATTTTGGGTACGTCACAGGGACATCTCTTGCCGGACTACATCGCTGTACTGACGATGGTTCAGGGCATATTTCGGTAACCAACAGTTTACTACATCGCATCTTTCATTTTTGAATTGCAAAACCGCCTTGCAAATCCACTGGGACTGGGCTTGGACCATGCAGGATGTGGTGATCACTAACTGCACGAATGGGATTGTCATCGTTGGTGGAGTAAGTTTCTCTCTGCTGCATTGGTTACAGTACTTGAGATTGCTTGGTTATTCCTAACTCTGTCGCCAGGCTGGAGGCCCTCAAAGCACTGGACAGTCGGTGGGATCATTAATCATTCTGGACACAGTCATAGCGTTCACAAAGACTGGGATCGTCACATCTCTCTTTGCGGAAAATTCAACTTCGTTCCTCCTCCAGAATACGGCTTTTATTTCTGTGGACACTGCTATCCTAGATAATGTCAAGAGCCGAACACTAATGTCTGGCGGCCCTTACGTAACTGTGGAATCGTGGGGATTTGGGCAAGTCACATCACGCACCACCAGTACCTTTATGAACGGCCAGAACATTCCTGCGATGAATCGAAGCAGCGCCTTAACTCGCGACGGGCTTGTGGTCCCGAGCTTCTTTCAGCGGCGTCGGCCGACCTACAGGGACATTGGCATGAGCCAGGTCATCGATGTAAAAGCCTGGGGAGCCGCTGGGGACGGCAAATCAGATGATACTGCTGTGTTGAACAGTATCTTGGATAGGGCTGCGAACATGTCATCCATTGTCTTCTTCCCGTTTGGTGTCTATGTCATCAAGGACACTCTCCATATACCCCTTGGCTCTCGAATAATTGGCCAAGCATGGTCCCAGGTCATGGCTACTGGTCCAAAATTTCAAGACGAGAAGAACCCTCGGGTTGCAGTCCAGGTCGGTCGCAGTGGTGATGTCGGAATAATCGAGATCCAAAGCATGATGTTCACTGTATCTGGGCCCACGGCTGGTGCTATTCTGCTTGAGTGGAATGTCCACGAATCGTCCCAAGGTTCTGCAGGAATGTGGGGTACGTTCAATTCTTTACCCATTCTGGAGAAGAAAAACTCACTGTACTTCCTGAAATAGACTCTCATTTCCGGGTTGGAGGCGCCATTGGATCCGATTTGCAAGCGAGCAACTGTCCGAAGAAAAGCGGCACAGTTAATGGGAAATGCAAGGCGGCGTCACTTATGCTGCATCTAACTCCTCATTCCTCAGCCTATCTAGAGAATATCTGGGTGTGGACTGCAGATCATGATCTGGATATCACTAGTCAGGAGCAGATCGACGTCTATGCCGCACGGGGCATTCTGGTTGAAAGTCAAGGCCCTACCTGGATGTATGGAACTGCATCAGAGCATCATGTCCTCTACCAGTACCAAATCTCTGAGGCCAAGGATCTCTACTTGAGCATGATCCAGACGGAATCCCCATACTTTCAGCCTTCGCCAAAGGCCCCGACGCCCTTCACCACCGGCCTGTTCCCCAATGATCCTACCTTCTCATCATGCGATGTTCATTCTCAGACATGTGCTGTTTCCTGGGCTCTACGTATCCTTGATTCTAGCTCAATCTACGTGATGGGAGCAGGTTAGTGCAATCGCCTATGGTGTACGAGAAACCGTGGTCGCTAACCATTCACAAAGGTCTCTATAGTTGGTTCTCTGACTATACGCAAGATTGTTTAGTAACCGCCAACTGTCAGCAGCGGGGCGTTGAGATCTCCCAGAGCACCGACACCTGGATCTATAATCTGGTTACCAAGGGCATCGTGGAGATGGTGAGTCCTGTGAATGAGAATGCCACCCTCTCCGCGGCCAACGTCAATGGTTTCATGTCCTCAATATTGGCATGGATTCGCGAGGGCAACAGCATAATTGGTAAAAGGAAGTTCCCTGGGTTTCAGCTCTACGAGCCTGAATGGCTCGTGGGTCTGAGTCTTACCGAAACTTGCAAGACTGCGCTCACCCAAAAGATTCTCTGCCATAGCTACCTCGAAAGGTTTCTATCGCCTGTAGTTGGCCAGTACATCGGCAATAGTACTCTTACGGACGAAGTCTGCGACAAGGGATGTGGTGAGAGTCTCAAGAGCTGGTTCGATAATGTGTCCACCAGCTGCGCAAACCAGTATATCGACAAAGCAGTGGCGACGGAGCTGGGCGGGTATATGTATGCTGGATATAATCTGACGTGTCTGAAGGATCCGGCCACAGGCAGATACTGTCCCGACATTGTCAGTCATTTCACTGTGGTCAATAACGTTGCCTCGATGACCCTATTTGAAATGTGTTCTTTCTGCTTCACAACTATGTTACAGATGAGACAGGCCAGCCCTTACTCACCGTACAGTGAGAAAGATCGATTCGATCTAGAACAATGGGTTAAGCCAACCTGTGGCCTCAAAGGGCCGACAAATCTGCACGACTCACTGTTCCTAGAAGAACCAGCCCCCACACCCATCTGTCTGTCGAATCTCACCTACACGGTCCAGCGCGGAGACACGTGCGATTCCATTGCCTTGAAATACCAGGTGGCATCTGCGGCCATCCAAATCGGCAACCCCATGTTGATCTACAACTGCTCAGAGCTTGTGACTGGCCGCGAGCTATGCCTGCCGCTGAACTGTGGCCATCAATACATGCTGCAGAATAACGACACCTGCTATTCGATCGAACGAGCACAGTCCCTCTGGTACGGCGACGTCAGGAAGTACAATCCCTGGATCAACTCCGAATGCAGCAACCTTCAATCCACGCGGGAGGTCCACGGCAGCATCATCTGCCTTGCTCCGCAGGGGGGACTGTTCAATGACACTGGAATCCATCCGAACCTCGGCGCTAAATCTCCCTGGTCAAGCACAGGCTACACCCAATCCACTCGGTACCCGCCCGATGGTTTCCCTGTTGCCAAGGGCACGACACTCTTCTGTGGTCGGTGGCATACAGTCGCGAAGGGAGATTCATGTCGGAGTATCTGCATCGCAGACGGGATTCCCTCGACCTTATTCATGGACGTCAATCCGTCATTGTCCAGGACTGACTGTGACGGATCTTTGATCGAGGGAACCACTTATTGCACGGGCCCAGACACTCACTGGGATGATCCGGATTTCTGGGACCCGGATGACTACATTATCTTGGATTGAACGGTACGGCTGTTGCCAGTCTGTCGAGGCTTGTCATGTCGTGTGTTCAGTGCTGTGGAAGAATGAGGTTGAATGAGTAGGTCCCTATCAGATCACATATAGCGCAAGAATATCGCATCCTTGATTGGTCCTCAAAGTTTATATGTGCTGCCTACCAATGGAGGCAAAACAGCAAGAGAAATATATTACCAGCCTAGGAGACTTAGTTCATAATTTCCTCTTCTAAGGCCCTAGAAGACTATTATATGAATATTAGGTTCTAATAAGAAAAAGAAGACGTCGAAAAAGAGGACATATATAGTAAAGCCTATATAACCTATAGATAATAATATAGTTAAAGGGATTATACAGTAGTAACCATCTTTTCTCTTAAGATAGTTAGATATTATTTAATAAGCATAATAAAATATGCTATATTATATCACAGTATATACGTCTTATAAGGGGGCCCACTATACAACATATAGCAGAAAAACTTACAGGTATATACAGAGTAGGTAAACGCATAAAAATACATATCACGCATGCATCACCAGCCATAAGCAAATACAGGTTAAAGTGGCCGAATTTGTGCGAGTGGACATTAATTACCTCCAAAAGATGTTTGCTTTTATCCTCTCACGCTGACCTGCAGGCTGCCAATTGGACTCCCCCACGTTTTAGCACTGATCGGGACTGTATGGGCCTCGATTGCCTGCCATATTGATCGTGGGAGAGAGCATCAAAGTTGAATGCTCACGGCGGATAAAACACTTCTTATTTGCCTACGATCATCTGCTGCACCGTCATGACTTCTCACTCGTCCTCGTCCTTCTTCTCCCGCTTGAGGCATAAAGGTTCCAAGAAGAGGGGTGATCTTTCAGATGAGGCGCCTCCGGCTAATGCCAAAACAACAACCCACAAAACTATCGACGACCTTCTTCAAAATGCTGGCCCCGGTGCTGTTACAGCGGCCCTACCTTCTGGAAGCAAAAACATGGCCCACGATATAGCTGAGGGTCTGTGGAACGCGGCCTACAACGGCCTGAAAGTTGAGGACAAGGAGCTGGTTGACGCCTACGAGAGGATACTGTCTCGTGAACTCGATAATTTATCCTCTTCGGATGCAGAAAGCAATAAGATCGAACAGAGCGATCCTCAGAAGAGGCAGTTACAGATGGAAGTACTCATCCGGGTCGGTATGAAGAAGTTAGAACGAGCAGACAAGGTGAAGTTGGGTATTGGGGAAGCGATGCAGGGCGTTCTTGCTTTGAATAATGTCATTGGGGCGGCGCTGCAGCCAGTTCCCCAAGCAGCTCTTGCCTGGGTAGGGGTTTCCTTTGCTTTACAGGTGAGTTTTCTGTATCTCTAGGTGGCATCCTCTCTGGGGAACATTCGCTAATCCACGAATAGATACTTGTTAACCCGACTACGGAAACTACCGCGAATCGGGAGGGAATCAGTTATGTCGCTGCGCGGATGGCTTGGTATTGCGAGCTGTCGGAACTACTGCTCAGGGAGAACACAGTGGATGGGGGCTTGTCTGCAGGCCTGCGTTCCAAGTTGGAGGGTCGATTGATCGATCTCTACAAGCTCCTCCTATCGTACCTCATGAAGAGTGTCTGTTCTCTCTATCGGAATTGCGTTGTTAACTACCTCCAGGACATGATCAAGCTCAATGACTGGGCCGGCAACTTGAAGGCGATCCAGACCGCTGAAAAAACAGTTCAGCAGGATTCTGCCGACTACAATACCCAACAGATAAACTCCCATCTGGAGCAGCTGGTCAGTTTTGCTCAAAATCAAGAGACGCAACTTCTCTCAAACCTCGATCAAGCACTTCAGGATCAGACCAAGCTGCAGAAGGGGATGAAAGACAGGGAAGAGGACAACAGGTTGCTGAAGGACCTTTGTCTGACAGACCCCAGAGATGACATCGCACGTATTGAACAAACCAAGGGCTGGCTACTTGAGGGCTCGTGTGCTTGGATGCTTGAGCGTCAGGATTTTATCGATTGGAGAGACGGAGATGGATCTGGCCTGTATTGGATCAAAGGCGGGCCGGGAAAGGGCAAGACGATGCTTTTGATAGGCATTACTCAGGACATGCTGCGAACGGCACAGGACAGCGGCCTAGTGTCCTTCTTTCTCTGCCAGAATACCGACCCGAAACTCAATACAGCAACAGCTATACTCCGAGGTCTCGTCTATCAACTTGCTTTACAGGAACGAACTCTTATACCGTATATCCGCTCAGACTACGACAGCCGGGACGATTGCTATTTGAAGACTCCAATGCATTCTTTGCGTTGTCGAGGATTTTGGCCAGAATGCTCAATCACCCAAACCTCCCCAAGGTCTATTTTATCATTGACGCACTGGACGAGTGTCAGACGGATTTGCAACCATTACTCAAGCTCATTACAGAACATGCCTTGTCGTCACGGTTGCGGTGCCTTGTGTCCAGTCGACCCAGAGACGAGATTAGGAGTCTCCTAGGCGTCGGCGGCTGCTGCACCGAGCTAGACCTCGATGAAAATGCGCTGGAGAATGTAAAGACTGTGGTGAAAGCTTATATTGACTACAAGATAACAGAACTTACCCAGCGGAAAAGATACAGTCCGAAGCTCCAGCAAGAAGTAAAAGATTATCTCCAACTTCATGCGGATGGCACGTTTCTCTGGGTGGCTCTGGTCTGCCAGCAACTACAGAAAACCCTTCTCTGGAAGACATTGTCCGTCTTGAAATCGTTCCCCTCAGGTTTGGAGCCTTTATATCAACGAATGATGGGGGAAATACATCAGCTAAAGAAAGAATCACCGGAGACGTTTGATTATTGCCGACGTATCCTCGGGTCTATCACACTTGCCCTGCGGCCACTATATCTGACCGAGCTCGGTCTTCTGGCTGGTCTTGAACCGGAACTTGCTGAAGATCAAGCATCTCTAGAGGAGATTGTTGGATTATGTGGCAACTTTGTAGTTGTCCGCAAAGGAATGATCTATTTTGTCCATCAATCAGCCAAAGATTACCTTACTACTCATGGATACAAGGAGGTGTTCCCAAATGGCGACGCAGTTATCCAATCAGGCATTGTTTCGCGCGCGTTGGAGGACATGTCGAATACATTGTGTCGGGATATTTGGGATCTACATGACCCCGGCTGCACTGTAGAAGAGATTGAAACTCCTGTTCCAGATCCGCTTCGATACGTTCGATACGCATGTACCTATTGGATCGATCACCTCTGTGAGCTCGACTCATATACTCAACAGAGCTTGGGCCTATGCGATAATGGCGCAGTCAGTGCATTTTTCCAGAAACATCTGCTCCATTGGCTAGAGGCTCTCAGTCTGCTACGGAGTATAACAAATGCAGTGGATATGCTAGCAAAATTGGAACAGTCTCTTACAGTAAGTTGCAGTCCTTGTGACTTTGTATCGCAGGTACAGACAAAATAACTCTCCGCAGAAAATACCTCGTGATTCCGCTCAGCTTCTCTCAATTGTTACGGATGCAAAGCATTTTGTCGATTATCATCAATATGTCATCGGGAACGCACCACTACAAGTGTACATTTCCGCCTTGGTCCTCAGCCCTTCGTCAAGTCAAGTCAAGGCCCTGTTTGAAGACCAAGCACCCTCGTGGATCAAAAAGGCACCACTTATGGATTCAGATTGGAAGTTGCACGTTCATATACTAAACGGGGATGCAACCATTCCGACGTCCGTCGCATTCTCTCCGGATGGGCAGTTCGTGGCATCGGGTACCAGTGATATAAGAATCCTGATATGGAACGCAAAAACAAAGGCAGTTCAACGGGTTTTGGAGGGCGATAATGGACCCGTGTGCTCGGTGGCTTTCTCGCGCGATGGCACTTTACTAGCCTCCGGTTCGGTGGACACGATCCTAGTCTGGAGCCATCACAAAGGGCAGGTAATGAAGACCTTGAAGGGCCATGGAGACAGTGTGAACTCGGTGGCATTCTCCCGTGACGACAAGATGTTGATTTCTGGCTCACACGACAACTCAGTACGCATATGGGATGTGCAGACCGGAAAACTCCTCCGAATCCTTGAAGGCCATACCGCCGCGGTGACATGTGTTGAGGTTTCGGGGCACTCCCAGGTTGCGTCGTGTGGGTATGATGGTACAATCCGAACGTGGGACGCGAACACAGGAGCTCTGAGGCACATACTGACACCTGATTCGGGCGTCTGGTCTATATCTTTTTCTCCTGACGGGAAATTCGTGGCCGCCGCCGCCGGCGAGACGCTACAAATATGGGATGTCCACCACGGACAGCTTCAGGAAACGTTCCAGCGAGGCGTCATACGGGTATCATCTGTGGACTTTTCCCCGACCGGGCAACGCTTGGCCGTGGGATTCTGGGATGGAATTGTTCAAATATGGAATGTTGAAACTGGGTCATGGTCACTACTTCAAACATTGGAGGCAGGCGAATGGGTACAGTCCGTCGCTTTCTCTGGTGACGGGCGCAGACTTGCAATTGCCTCCCAGGCGACAGTGCGTATATGGGATACTGAGATTCAAGTATCGCAGGGGACCCTGGCAGGTCACACATCGCCGGTTGGGTCAATCACCGCGTCGCCTTGTGGAAAGTGGCTAGCAACTGGGTCGGAAGACTGTGCAGTTGGTCTATGGGACCGAGCAACAGGGCTGCTAGTACGCACACTAACAGGACATACATCCCTAACCAACCGCGTGGAATTTTCCGCCGATGGAAAGCTCATAGCAACTGGGTCTAAGGATTCGACGATTATAATTTGGGATGCCCAAACGGGCGATACAATACATATTTTTACTGGCCACTCCGGCCATGTACGTGCGTCTGTATTCTCGCCTGATGGAAGGAGAGTTGCGTCTGGATCTACGGACAATACGATACGGATCTGGGACCTATATACCGGGGTTTTGGAGAGAACCATAGAGACCTACCGGCCTTGTGAGGTTGCCTGGTCTCAAAACGGACTGTTACTTGCATCAGGCTCCTATAAGGCCGTTGTTCGCATATGGAACGCAGAGACAGGCGAGCTACAAAGCGAGCTACAAGGCGAGCCAGACCGCAAGAGAATATGCGTGTCAGTTGCATTCAGTCATGACGGGCGTTACCTGGCCTGCGGCTTTTCCCCTCGTTCCAGTAGAATCATGGTATATAATGTAGAAACTGGAGTTCTGCAAGACACCATTTTGGTTGAAATGGTGCCTTCACGCTTGAGCTTTAGCGAAGACGGTTCAAACCTCTTCACTATATTTGGCGGCATCGCAATTGCATTGAACCAGACTCCCGCACAGGCCCCAAAAGCGAACGCGAACGACGTCATGGAGTTGACTGCCCGCCAGTATAGAGAAGCGAAACGGGTTGGATACGGCCTGGATGGTGATATGTCCTGGATTACGTGGAATGGTAGAAGACTCCTCCAGCTACCGTTGGAATACCGACACCGGGCGTATCTAGTCCAAGACCAGATGATTGCTCTTGCACATGGGTTGGGTCGGGTGATTATCTTTGAGTTTGCGGATTGTATATCGCCATTGTAATAGCCTGTTCACTACCTAAGTAGGCTCCTAAAAGTGAAACACCATCCAACAATACCAACGGCAGTATCAATCAATCGATAAGAAGACCTCAAACTCATCCTAACAAGCGAACCTTCCTTTAAGTTTCCCCGGCCATCCCCTTCAACCAACACCATCCCAGCGATAGGGAACTCCCTCGTATGCAAACCTCGCTCAACTAGATGTCCAATCCCGCACACGCCCATACCAGACAGCAGGCGCAAAGGGCGCCCCAGAAAATCCCAGATTTGCCACGTCAGTTCCAAGCGTCCACATTCAACATGTAGGGTCTTTCCGAGATTACGGAGGAGCATGCAGGTCCGACGGCGGAAATATAGATAGATGTATAGATAAAGAGCATAGACCAGTGGCCCAAAACAGCGCGGATGAACAAGCCGGGATAGAGATAAGGCCGACGAGGAGCAAAAGCAGCAAAAATAGTAACCAGACCCGCGATAGAGAGCGTGCGACGACTGAAGTAGGTCATCTTGTCAAGGTCAATTTGCAGCAGACTATCTAATCATTCCATGGCCTGTACCGATCCCTGAAACATTCCCCAGTCTCTACTTCCTCCCTAACATCCAAGAGAACATCCAAGAGATGGGGACAGGACATGCTGCTTTATTTCTTCTGAAGCAGTGAGGCTCCATGGCCTTCCTCCCTTATTTGGCACCGCTTTCACACTCCCAAACAGGTCCATATCGGTGATATACTAAAGTAATAGTTAGTGGGTTGCAGCCAGCAGCGCGGGCAATCTGGGGTCAGATAAGCTCATCATTCAAGATCATATAATATATTTGAAACATAGGTGGTTAGAGGCATAGATTAAGAGCTATTTGAGCTGTGATCCGTGGAGGATGATTTAACATTATCCTCCAGAAGGATTTTTGGTAGGTTTATGTAACATGCCCAAGCGGCTGAATGATGCACTTGCATATAGGGTTAGAAGTTAGGTTATATGAAAGGGCGGCCTTCCCAGCTACACCCGCCTAAACCTAATTAGGTAGTTGCATAGTTTTGTGCGAGGCTTGTCATGACTCATGTTATTATTCAGAATCAGGGCTTCAGGTGCCATAGAAGAACGAGGTCGGAGAATTGGCCCCTACCAGGTCACATACAACGCAAGACCGCATCCTTGAGGGGTCCTCAAAAGAACAAGCTGTTTAACCATTGGAGGGAAAAGGTAACAAATAAATACAACCCGCCTAGGAGACTTCGTCCATTATCATGGATAGCTGCTTAGGGATGGAGTATACCATACCCCCGTACAATGTATTAGACCAGTCCAAACCACACAGTGGAAGACGAGTTGATAATAAGCACCAGCTTATGCTAAAGCTATAAGCGTAAAAGCTCCAATCAAGGCTCCTCTTTAACTTGTTCAACCCGCACCCAATGCCCGCTCTTCCCCCCTTCTTCTCCAACAACTGCACCTCCCCAATCACCATCCCCTTATCCACAGCCTTCAACATATCATACACCGTCAACGCAGCCCCCACCGTCGCCGTCATCGCCTCCATTTCCACACCCGTCCGGCCTGAACAACTAACCGTTGCAACCACCCGCATCGCCCCGTGCTTCATCCTCTTCCCCGTCCCTGAGCTTGCTTGCGAACTTGGCAGAGAACCAGGTCCAGGAGCAGGATCAGGATCAACAAGCTTAACGTCAACCTCCACCCCCGTAATCCCGATACTCGGATGGCACAGCGGGATGATATCCGGCGTTTTCTTAGCGGCCATGATCCCCGCGATGCGGGCGACGCTGAACACGTCGCCTTTCTTGGTGAGGCCCTTGCGGAGGAGCTCGTGTGGTCGTGCGTTGGAGAAGTGGACCAGGCAGCTTGCTGTTGCGGATCGGGCTGTGATGGGTTTTTCGGTGATTTGGGTCATGTGGACTGTTTGGGAGGGAGTGAGGTGCGGGAGGTCTGGGTCGGAGGTTGTTGGGAGGGACGGTGATGATGCTGGAGCTGCTGGAGCTGCTGGAGCTGTTTCCGGGTTGTGTTCGGGACGAGAATCGGGGTTGCTATTGCTACGCTTGTGATAGTGCCGAGCCTGGAGTTTGAACGGCGGAGTATGCAGGAGATGAAGGGGGATATTGGCTGGAGGTATTCTGGGTGTCGTACTTCTGAGATATTCATGATATTCACTATCTAAGCCTCCTATCAGCATGGTGGTACCAGACCATTCTTATATATCCAAATCAATACATCATGTCACATCGTAATCAAGTCAGAAAGTCAAAACGCCAGAATGTACGTTAATCTGCAGACGGGTATATGAAAGTATGAAAAGAACAGTCGCGCCTACCCACCAATAAGTATCATCGGCCGATTCTTCATATTCTTCAATTCACCCATGCCGGCGTGTTTGGCCTTTTTGCGCTTAACCGCCATCCCGATCAGATCAAGGAGCTCTCGCTCTCTCTGATTGACCTCCCCACCCTCGTCCTGGATGCGAGCGGCCGCTTCCGCAGTCTCAAGGAGCCGAAGTTCTTTTAGTGCAGTCTCATCTATCGGCTGGCCGTCATTTTCCTTCCGAATGATATCACGCAGCGACACCTCCGTATTGCCGAACAGACAGACTTTCAGGTTCCCGTCGCTAGTGATGCGCAGCCGATTGCAGGTGCCGCAGAAATTATGCGTCATACTCGTGATAAACCCAACCCGGCCCTGGAAGCCAGGGATCCGATACGTCTTGCTGGTATCGTTCTTGTGCCCGACCACCTTCTCCAGAGACGGGTACTTCTCCCGAATCACGGCCAGCATCTCCTGGTACGAAACCATCTTGCCCTGGCTCCACTTATTCCCGTCAAAGGGCATGTACTCGATAAACCGCACCTCGATGGGACTGTCCCGCCCCAGCTCCACAAACGGAAGAATCTCCCGGTCGTTCATCCCCCGCATAATTACGCAGTTGATCTTCAACGTGATCCCCGCACCAGCCCGATTCAACTCCAGAATCCGCTCGATGCTCTTCATTACCGCCTCAAACCCTTTTCTCCGTGTCATAATCTGGAACTGGAACGGGTCCAGCGTGTCCAAACTCAGATTCACGCCCGTTAGCCCCGCCTCGACCATATCTTCCAGCTTCCGGTGCAACGAGATCCCGTTCGTCGTCAGACACAGCTCCCGCAGCCCGTTCCGCCGCAGCTCGCCGATCGACCGCATAAGGGGGACGATGTCCTTGCGGACTGTCGGCTCGCCACCCGTCAGCCGGATCTTGGTTACGCCCTGCGAGACAAACAGGGACGACAGGTACACGATTTCCGGGGTGGTGAGGAGGTGCGCCGGTGGAGAGAGCGGGACGCCTTCTTCAGGCATGCAGTATAGACAGCGCAGGTTGCAGCGTTCGGTGACGCTGATGCGGAGGTAGTCATGTTGGCGGTTGAAGGTGTCGGTGAGGAAGTCGGAGAAGGGTCTTGCGGATCGGAGGGCGGTCCATTTTGCGGACGGCGAGGAGGGTGAGGAAGAATTAAGAGGGTACGTTGTGTCGTGGCTTGTTGTCGATGGGTCTACAGCTGCCGTGGCAATTCTGCTGTGTAGACGAACCTTTGGTACTAGCCGGCGATAACTGCGCGGGGAGAGCCGAAAGGCGACTCCCCGCATGCCCAGGAGAGCTTCACTCATCCTCAGCAGAGGTTTCTGCGCAAGGAAGACTTTGATGGAAAAGTTGTGTCCTGCATTTAGGACGGGGAAAAGCCTCGAAGAAGTTCAAAGCAAGGTTGCATTGTGGGTTGTTATCAAGGAACAAGCAGAGTGACTCCCAACTCCGCGGAATCGGCGACCCCCGCTGTAGCAAGATTAGTCACCGCCATTATTATTCGCAGAATTACGGAGTACTGCGGTATGATATCACGCCCTATCCATCAGCCTTGATCTCGCGCTGTCTTCCCCTCGAGGGGTATTGCCACTGTGATGAGAGGAATGGTTAGGTAATAATATGATAAGATGAATTCCTACAGGCCCTAAGCAAGCTTTTCGACATGCTCTGATACATGAACATCCTGCTTAATCTCCTCAATTTTCCGCGCCAGCTGCATCTTCTCGTCCTGACCCTCGAAAAGGTACGCCAACTCCTCCAACGTCGGCCCAGCAGTCTCCACGAAGAAGAAATACACGAGGGCGAAGATGATGGCCACCCATACGCAGTAATAGATGTAAAACTTCCAGCCGATATTCTTCAGCCCAATGGGATTGACATACCCGCCAAAGATGGATGACACCTGGATCGTCAGCAAGACAAAGGCCCACGTCTTCGCGCGCATCCGGTATGTCACGATCTCCAAGGGATACGTTACGATCAAATTGGTCCAGGCAAGGGTGTAAAATGCTTGGAAAACAAAGATACAGGCGAGCACGAGTCGTCCCGCGGCCAGTGAGCTGGTTTCCAGGTAGCGCTGCGCCGCAATGGTCCACACGATGAATGTGACCAGCACGCCTCCGGAGCCGGTGAGGAAGAAGAAGCGCCGCTTGAATCGGTCAATGATCAAGGTCACAGTGATCGCGACAATGTACTGCCACAAGGTGACCATGCCGTTCACCAGGGTTATCTCAAACTCGGTCTTCAAGCCAGTGTCCTTCAGGATCTGCGTCAGATAGTTTGACACGAGAAGGTTGCCAGAACTCTGACTGAAGACTGCAGTAGCAAAGCAGAGGAAGATCCGCTTGAGATTGGGCACGGAGGAGAAAAAGTCCTTCCACGTCATGTTGTTCTCCGCTTCCTTTGCAATAGCCTGCTGAATCTCTGCGCACTCGAAATCAACTAGCTCGGAGTTGGGATCACATTCTCCGTGATATTTGACCAAGATCGCGCGAGCTTCCTGCAGCCGACCCTTGGCAATCAGCCATCGAGGGGATTCCGGGCAAAACCAGATGAGGCAGAATTGATAGGCCGATGGTATGACCTGGACCAGGGTGGGCAGTCTCCACGACCATTGACTGTTGATGCGGTAGCATCCAAAAGTCGCCCAGGCACCGATCACATAGCCCAGAACGATGGAGGTATTGTAGAAAGTGGTGATCTGAACTCTTTCCTTGGGATGGGACAGCTCAGTCACCAGCACTGGGGCACCCATCTGGATGAGCGAGGAGCCCACGCCCAGCACAATCTTTCCACCAATGTACATGTTCAAAGAGGTGGCAAAAAACTCAATGAGGACCCCGACGATGATGACCACCGATCCCAAAGCTGTAGGAAGACGTCGCCCGAACTTATCCCCAATCCAGCTGAGAAAGATAAAAGGAATGACCCCTCCAATCGCGTTGGCCGCACCAAAGAACCCCAATCTGGAACCGGTCGGGTGGCCGAACCTATCTTGCCAGGATTGCAAGACCTGCATGCCGTTCGTCATCGACTGTAGTCCATGTTAGTGGTGCTGTAAAAACGGGGAGAGAAAGCCTCACCCCATCAATTCCTAAAGCTGCACTCGCCAGGAGGGACGAGGTAAGCAGGAAGTAGAGTAAAACACCATTCTTCCGACGCCAGAAGGAGGGAATGGACTTCAGATCAATTGGCGATAAGATGCCATCGGCAGCATGCGCAGCAGCGGGAGCCATCGTACGGAGACCGCTTGCGTCTCTCAGAGGATAGGATACTATATAAGAAGATGCACAAGTTGGTGCACCAGCGTAGATCGGCTCAAAAATGCAGGACTTGTTCGCATCCTCTTATAGAATGGCCATCAGACCAGAAGTCATCCCGGAGTCATAACTATGCAAGCCACAATCCAGATTGGTGTCGTCTGATTCTGGAAGACCAAGAAAAGAATTATCACGACGGATTTCTCCCCGTGGGGAACTCCACTTCTGCTGGGGAAAGTTTAGATTTCGGCGAAATATCAGGGGATATCCAACGGAGAAATCACACCTTGATCTATGGAGTATTTCGCCGACGATCATCGTCTGCTCTGCTGCCCCGCGGCCCCGCCGTCGTGGAAGATACTCCGCCGTGAGATATTGCTGACCGAAATATCAAAGTATAAGTTAATTCTCTTGCTCGACAGCAATTGTGGCGCTCATAACCTTTCTGAGCCATCGTCCCTCTGTGCGTTCCTTGATTCCTCCACTTAATCAGTCATGCCGTCTCCTACGCCTCTTCCCCCTCACTTTACCTGGGGCTTCGCAACAGCCGCCTACCAGATAGAAGGTGCTGTTGATGAAGATGGACGAGGAAAGTCCATCTGGGATACCTTCTGTCACTTGGAGCCCTCGCGGACCAAGGGTGCCAACGGCGATGTCGCCTGTGACCACTATCATCGGTACGAGGAGGACTTTGACCTACTCACACGATACGGTGCAAAAGAGTACAGGTTCTCTATTTCCTGGTCGCGTATAATTCCTTTAGGAGGTCGGGAGGACCCAGTAAACGAAGCCGGCGTCGCATTTTACAATAAGCTCATTGATTCACTGCTGGCAAGAGGCATCACGCCATGGGTTACCCTGTATCATTGGGACCTGCCGCAGGCGCTGCATGATAGATACGGGGGCTGGTTGAATGTGGAGGAATCACAGAGAGATTTTGAGCGGTACGCAAGGGTCTGCTATGAGCGGTTCGGTGACCGAGTCAAGAATTGGATTACCATCAACGAGCCATGGATTGTGTCCATTTTCGTAAGTCTCCTTCACTTCAAGGTCGAAATTGTTAGCTGAACTGGGCAGGGATACGCAACCGGTGGCAATGCTCCTGGAAGAAGCAGTATCAATCCGCAATCGACCGAGGGCGACACCGCGACTGAGCCTTGGATTGTCGGGAAAGCACTGATCATGAGCCATGCCCGCGCCGCTATCTTGTACAACAGAGAGTTCCGGTCCGTGCAAAAAGGCAAGATTGGGATTTCGTTGAATGGGGACTACTATGAGCCTTGGAACGTCCAAGATGAGCGGGATCACGCTGCTGCAGAGCGTCGCATGGAATTCCACATTGGCTGGTTCGCCAATCCCATCTTGTCAGTACCTTGCTTGATTCTGACGCATAGGTCCCAGCTAACAGCCATTGCAGTCTGGCACGAGACTACCCAGTCTGCATGCGCCAGCAACTTGGAGACCGCCTGCCCAAGTTTACCCCCTCTGATTTTGCACTCCTTCGCGAAGCCGAGAGTGATTTCTACGGGATGAACTACTATACATCCCAGTTTGCTCGCCATCGCGATCAACCGGCTTCCGAGACGGACTATATCGGCAATGTAGATGAGTTACAGGAGAATAGTGAGGGGATGTCGATCGGCAAACCAAGCGGTATCCATTGGCTCCGCTCGTGTCCAGACAAGTTTCGCAAGCACCTCACCAGAGTTTATCGCCTGTACGGAAAGCCAATCTTCATCACCGAGAACGGATGTCCATGTCCTGGAGAGGATCGGATGACATGCGAGGAGTCCGTCAATGACATGTATCGAATCCGGTATTTTGAGGATCATTTAGAGGCTGTGGGCCTGTCCATCAGTCAAGATGGTGCTGATATCGGAGGCTACTTTGCATGGTCATTGTTGGATAATTTAGGTGAGCTCCTGACTATACTTGAAGAGACTATCGGCTGACCGTACCTCGCAGAATGGTCCGATGGTTATGGACCACGATTCGGCGTGACATTCACCGATTATCAGACTCTGAAGAGAACGCCTAAGAAATCTGCTCTGCTGCTGAAACGCATTTTCGAAGAGCGAATGGGTATCAGCCCTAAAGGACAGAGACAGACCGTGCCAGCTCCTGAAGTGCTCCGAGCGGAGTTGTGAGCGTGATGATATGACTTAGAGGGTCATGCAACTCCCAGCCACTCGTATGGCGTCGATATATCGTTCAGAGGCATCAAGATACGACAGAAGTCTTTTTGGTTCTGATATTGTAGCCTCACGAAGGCCTTCTAAGGGTGTCTGAGGCTTTAGAATCCAGGCGAGTGAGGATGTCCAGAAGGATCGAAAGGTCGTTGCGTGCTCGGATCGACAGCGGAGAAGCCTCATATTGGTCTATTATCTCCAGCAGACTGGCGCCAATGAGCCTTATTTTCTCAACCTGCGGGCCTTTTAGCAAAATGCAGCAGATTTACGTAAGCAATCAGAAACATACGCATGGCTCCCCATTTACCTGTAGCGACCAAAAGGGCGCTTCTCGGATCACTCGCAGCATGTCGCGGGCTATTTCCGTCTTCCTCAGTAATGACATATCGGGATGTTCGACTCCCGACGCGTAGTAGCCCAGATCTTCCAGCTTCTGATCGATGACCAACCTCAAGCAGTGAAGGGAGACATTGAGATTCGCCCACTGGATCACGTACTGCTTTCGGCGATGACTACTGTTGTTGTTGGTTGATGCTAGTAGAGTGTCGGTTTGTAAATACTCTGGCAGCTTGTCCAGCGACGTGATGAAGGAGACATACAGGTTGCCCAACCTATGGCGTTCTTCGACGGTCAATAATCGTGGAGTGAGCATCCCTACCTCCTTCTGGCTTTCCAGGAGTCGCATCTCGAGGATGAGGTCTGAAGCTGTCTGCCATAGACGTAGATTTGCGTTGAAGCCCGCAATGAAGCTCCTTCGCGTGGACAAATCCGGTTCGGCACAGGCAGGGGAAACTCCTGTGCCATCCTCGATGCCAGAAGGGTACGCCGTGGTAATGCCAGTGTCGAACGAGAACTTGT